AGCCACAAAACCACTGCTATTGACCGACAACTATTTAAGGTGAAGGTGTAGTAGAGGTCAAGTAGGGATTCTATTATGTAACAATGAATTGAACTTGTTGACAATTTAATTTGCTTTTTTTTTATTTTAGTATTGTAACGCCCCGATTTTGGAGTGTATAAAATAATATTATTATAGCAGATAAATATTTTTATAATATTTTAGGATCAAAAAAATTAATATTTCAGAATAAATTTTATTCATATTTTATATATTGATTATGATTAAAAAAAATGTTAAACAAATAAATATCGATAAATATAAATATAAATATAAATATAAAATATAATATATAATATATATAATAAAATATAAAGATAAGGATGATAATAATAATAACGTTACTAATAATAATAATATAATATATAATAATATAATTATACATATATATATAAATCAAACAACCTGCGAAGGAAGGAACCAGAAGAAACGTAGGGAAAGAAGAAAAGAAGAAAGAAAAAAATTTATTTGTTCGATTTCGATTTCGACTTCGATATTATATTTCTTATTATAAGTAGAATTTAATTATGAATTTTAATATGAATTTAGATATTGAAGATATTAAATTAGAAATTCTTAAAAAATTCATAGTTGGCTATTTGGTTATTTAATCGACGAATTTCTTTAGCTAATAGCCTATTCGTAGTCCTAGCATTATATTTTGAGAATTTTGTATCGATCCGAGCCGAATTGAAAACGGCAGTGTACTGCACATGCCTGTTTATTCATATCGTTAAGTATTTTTTATTTAATAATCGGGTGATATAAATATAATGAGGTATAAGAGTTTTATAGTTAGAATATCGTAGCCTACTAAATATAAAAGTTTGAAATCCAACAAACTAATTATAGAAATTAGTTTTTGAATCAACAGATAGCTCCTATAAACAAGCATCTGATTTGAGTAAATAATGGGGCAGGTGTACGTTGGAGGAGATTCATGTGAGATTACAAAAGCTAAAGAGTGTTGATAAGAGGTAAGTAGTAAGGAATTAAATCTAATTTTAAAAAATTAGGTATGCATACTATATACGATTCTGAGTAATATGTTAATGTGATATTATGTGCATCATTTTATCGGTGCATGTATATACTTATATATATACGTGTGCGTATGCATGTGGGAGGCTTCACGGTTTATGATATTTGATATATGTATTTGATCGTGTAAGTGAAAAATGAGGATAGGTGAGCTGTCTTACCAGCTCTTTTTAATAAATTCACTTATTTGACATGTCGCACACATATTGCACGGTTTATCGGATATGTTTTATGGATCTATCGTTTAGTCGCCGTGAGCGGTAGTGCTAGGCGAGGGCATCATCTGGGGTTAGGATATTCGACCCCAATGTACCGTAACACTTTGGCGATAGTGGACGATAGTAGTCGGACAACTGAGTGACTTAGTCACACGGTCATTCAGGGATTAGAACCAATGTAGTTGAGACGTATTTGGTCTAATCATTCGTGTTCGGTGTTGTTCCACTCATAAGATTTGCACCTGGTGAGGTCTACTGGTAGTTTAGGATCATATGCCAAACTCCAAACGTGATCCCGTTAGGACGCGCGAGGAGTAGAGTTTCCGGGTTTCCCTTGGGTGATTCCAGGTTGCACGGATTCTACTATATTACACGGAATAGGGCTAGTCTGTGGGGGTCCTATCTTCGCTATCACAGACAATGGGGCGTCTTGTGGTTAATGGCGACAACGTTCGGGCTATCCATGTATTGATTGTGGGAGTCGTATGGTAGGTATATGGAAGTGACCGGATGACCGTTATATTATTATGGGTTTATCAGGTCCTTCCTAGAGCCGAGGATTTTTCGGCTATTTATTGATGATGGTCTAGTGAGCTTGTTATTACGGAGCCGAGGGTATTCCGACTGCTCACTTAGACAAATGTAGTGAGCCTATGATTATGGAGCCGAGGTTATTCCCGCTGCTCACTTCGGCGTATGTATATGTATATATATGTGGATGTGCATTGTTGTCGAGTTTGATATCTTTGTTGTATCATTTCACTATTGGCATGACATGACACGTATTTTATGATTGGCGAGAATTAGACTTTATTTTAAAAATGTATGAAATGACATATTTCACGTTAGTTCTTAAAATGAATTTAATTCTAGACTGCTTTTAAGAAAAATATTTGTTTCAGGTATGCATGGCACATCCGAGACAGGGGACGTCTCGGGATATAGAAAGACGGGCTGAGTGAGGGAACTTACATCTATTGTATTATATGTAAATTTTTAATCGGAAAAATTTCTTGTTTAGGAGCGTGTTTGTAAATATTCATCAATCAGATTTTATTATATAATATTGCGCTTTTATGATTAATTTTAGCTTTAACACTGTATTGTGGGGCCCGAAGTAGGAGGTGGCTACCTCATGATGCAATGTGGCAGTAGCATTTCCAGTATGAGCCAATTAGAGGTATTACAATTGACAAATCATAGATCGGTATCATATGTTTCAACACAAATAACATATATGAAATTTGGTTGAGTTATGATTTTTTTTGCTAAAGTATTAATCCAAAAATGACCCAAAAGGCCATGCTCACCGCAAGTTAACAAAATAAAGGCAAAACAAGTGTATAAAATAATAACTTGCAATAATAAAATTCATACAAATATATTATTATTACTATTATAGAATCTTCACAAATTAGTTAAGATATTTGAAAAACTTAAAAGATGTAAAGCAAAGTAAAAACAGTGAATTTGAAGATTCAGAAAGTATATGAAAAAGTTAAAAAAAAAAAAAAAAAAAAAAAAGAGAGAGAAAAAAAAAGATGCATAAGAATTATTTTAAAATGAAAAAAAAAAAAAAGAAAAGAAAAGTAGGTTGGCTAGTGAATTCTAATTAATGTAATTAATATGATGGATGGGTAGGGTGCTAGAAATTGTGGGATTGTTTGTCCACAATTTTTTTAAACGATTTTATGTTTTTATAAAAGTTAATACTTCATCTATCTCATAACAAAATATCTATTTTTTCATTTTAGTCCGTCTCGTAATAAAAATATTTATTTTCTTTTTTTAGTAACTGTACTATCTACCTAACATTACAAATACCGTTACAACTTACAATATATTACATAAATGTCATTACTTTTATATCACACATACTAATAAAGTTATTTTAGTAATTTATACTAATATAATACTAATATTTTTAAAACTATGTAAAAAAAAAATAGATAATTTTTTTTAGACAGAGGGAGTATTTAATATAAAATATTATTTTTATATTATCGACATAATTATCTATTCTTTATATAAAAAATTTTAAAATCAAAACACTAAACAAACAAATTTGAAGCTGGTTTAATTTTTAATAATCCATGGTCTCACTAAAATTGTTCGACGAATTTAAAATAAATGTAATTAGTAAATATTAAATTATTATATAATATAAATAATTATAAATTTAAAATTAAAATAATTAAATAGTTTAACTAAAATTAAAAATATTCAAATTTTAAATGAAATTAAAAATTATATATTTATAAAAAAAAATAAAAAAATTATACAAGGGACTTTGATATGAATCGAAAATATATATAATTAACTTTTTATTGAAAAAGAAATAAAAAGACCAAAGCCGCCCGGGTTTAGCCCGCCCCATTGTTGCACCGTGGTACAAATTCAAAGAGCAAAGCCAGGTACCATTATTAATATTATGTATACACTCACTGGTCACTACTGCTACTGCTACTGCTACGATTGTACAAGTATTAATTGAGAAGACAAAAAGAAAAGTGTAAACCCTTTAATCCTTTATTCCATCAAACCAGAGCTGAGGAAAGCAAAGCAAAGCAAAGCAAATCAAATCAATCTGCAGCTGCTGGAAATCATTTGTAGCTTTATTCTTTGCTTCCTTTAAGAAAGAAGGAATTGAATTTGAATGGAAATGAAAAATGAAAATGAAGACCACATCAATAACACACTTCCCAATCCCAATTCAATTCCTTCAACCAGACAGATCGTCCTCTCTCTATCTCTGTTCGCACTGCCCCTCTTTTTGCTTCCCCCAAATCAACTTTCTAATATATAAATATAAACGTTATTGTTTTCCGTTCTCTTTACACTATATTACCAAAAAGTGTTGTGATTGAGATAACAATAATGATAATAATAATAATAATGTCATCATCCGATCCCACTTTCGCTCATAGGAGTTCAGTCAGTCAGTCAGTCAGTCAGTCAGTCAGTCAGTCATATGTAGATAGATCACTCTCTCTCTCTCTCTCTCTCTCTCTCTCTCTCAGACACACACTCGTATGATGTATGTCTGTATGTATGTACTGTGAAGAACATAAAGGTGGCTCGCTGGTCCAATTATTAGCACCTAAATTTATATTCCTCAATCTCAAGAAGAGGCCTTCGTTTCTTTTCGTCTGGGCTGATATGGAAAAAACAAAAGTTAAAGTTTTGTTTGTTTTTATATGCATTAATGCCCTTCCTCCCTCAAAAGTAGCAGCTGACAATCACTCTCACTCTCACTCTCAGATCGTACATATATACATACATCATCATAATTAATCAATCACAATTTATATAATATATATATATATATTAAAAATTTTGAATTTTAAAAAAAAAATTAATATATTTTAACAAGTTAGAAAAGATCATATACACACATACATACATGTATGTATATTAAAACTCGTCGAATGCAAATCCCACATGTTGAATATTAGTAGTATTATTTTGTTAACCCCTGTGCATAATTAATTTGTTATTGTTGTTGTTGTTGTCGTCGTCGTCGTCGTCGTCATTGTGTGTGTTGAGTACGTATCATCAAATGTTTGTGGTTGCTGTCAATGAAAGATTAGCAGTGACTGTAGGGTACCTTTTATTTTCTTCTTTATTTATACTGTTGAATATTGATCATTCATGAGCTAGGTAGCAAACCTTTACCTCTTTCTTTGCAAGAGACAGACAACATAGCTTTGGTTCACATGCCTTCAGTTCCACTTTTACACATTCGTGTTTCTTTTGAACACACTTTATACACCATACCTCACAAGACCAACTCTAACAAGAAAGGCACAACACAATTATAATAACAACATCATCCCACTTCACCACCTCACCTCTAGCTTATTAAACCCCCTCCTCATCCACAACATTCTTGGACGATCCAATGAATCATTAATTAAGAAGAAGACGCCTCATTTCATTGATTACTACTATATATCATTGTCATCGATCATATCATTGTTGCTGCTCCATTTGAATTGCTTCGGAGCAATCAACAATACACATATATAGATAGATAGTGATTGATATATAGGGTTCAATACCTACTAATTAACAGTAACAGTGGTTGGTTGTGGGTACAGAGATAGATATCAATACTAATTGATTGATACCAATAAGTTCAGTTGGCTGAGGAGGAGGAGGAGGAGCATGAAAGGCGGGGGATACAGTCTCCAGCAGTCCCTGACACCGGAAGCAGCCAATGTGGTGAAGCAGGCGGTCAGCCTGGCTCGCCGGAGAGGCCACGCCCAGGTCACCCCGCTCCACGTCGCCAGCGCCCTGCTCGCCTCTTCCACCGCCGGCCTCCTCAAGCGGGCCTGCCTGCAGTCCCATTCGCACCCCCTCCAGTACAAAGCCCTCGAGCTTTGCTTCAATGTCGCCCTCAACCGCCTCCCCACTTCTGCCTCCACCCCTCTCCTTGCCGCCCCTCACCCCCACTGCCACATCCCCCCCTCCCTCTCCAATGCTCTCGTTGCGGCCTTCAAGCGCGCTCAGGCCCACCAGCGTCGCGGCTCCATCGAGACCACCCAGCAGCAACAGCAGTCCATACTAGCCCTCAAAGTGGAGATTGAGCAGCTCGTGGTTTCCATACTCGATGACCCGAGTGTGAGTCGAGTCATGAGAGAAGCTGGCTTCTCCAGCACTCAGGTCAAGGCCAACGTCGAGAAGACCGTGTCCATTGATAAATGCAGCTCTCGGGCTAGTCCTCCCGTCAAGGCCCGACTCGGCACCAAGTGCTTAGCTGCTGCTGCTGGTCTTGAGAAGGTCGCTCTGCCTCAGACAACGCCGCCGCCCACAACAAGCTTAGCTCACTTCACATTGCCGTTATACACCAAAGCTGATGTTGGAGGAGGTGAGATCGTTGAGAATGATGATGGTGCGATGATGGGCATCCTCATCAGGGCCATGATGGACAGGAACACCAAGAACTCTGTCATTGTCGCCGAGTCTCCTGCCGTTGCTGAGAACGTAGTCAGGAAGGTGATCCAAGCATTCAACAGAAAAGACGACGCCGTCCCCGCCGACATGAGGTTCGTGCAGTTCATAAGTGTCCCGCTTTTCACCCTGAGGAACATCTCCAGGGAAGAGTTCGAAATAAGACTCGGGGAGCTGCGGTCCCTGGTGAAGTCCTACATGAATAGAGGAGTCGTTCTGTATTTGGGGGATCTCGATTGGGTGTCCAACTTCTGGTCGTCGCAAAGGGGGGGCGGCGGCGGCGGCTGCTACTGCCCAGTGGAGTACATGGTGATGGAGCTCAGCAGGATGATATGCGGGGAGAAGGAGGCCGCGGAGAACAAGAAAAGACCGCTGTGGCTCATGGGGGCTGCAACTCCGCAGACTTACGCCAAGTGCAGGCTCGGGAGGCCCTCTTTGGAGACTCTCTGGTGTCTCCACCCTCTTAGGCTGCCCGTTCCCAACTCCACCTTGGCCCTTAATCTAAGCCTTGACAGGTATGTTTCACACAAAACAAAACAAAACAAAACAAAAAATCTTCACCACTCCTACTACTTCTCTTATCCAAATTAAAATGCATTTGCACATTCATATATATAATTAGTCATGGGAATTAATGAAGCTCATCATCCGGCTAACAATTCATTCTTGCTGTGATGTATAACCAGTACCGCTGGCATGTATGATCAAGTAAAAGAGGAGGAGGACGCGGCGGCCGACGATTTTAACTGGTTGTTTCTGAAGGCTGGGATCAGGAAGCAACTTGTCTGCTGCTCAGATTGCTCGGACAACTTCAAGAAAGAAGCTCAGTCGGTCCTGATCAGTGATAGGCAAGAGCTGAGGCCATTAATTGCCTCGAGCTCGAGCCTGCCTTCATGGCTCCAACAGTGCATGGTTGAGAATAGGAAACACGACAACAGTGCTGATCAGGTTTGATGGATGGCTGATATATATATATATATATATATTTGATACCGCAGCTGATTTTTAACTCTCTTTTCAATCAACTTATTATATTTGGTTGCAGGAATGTGCCAAAATCAAGGATCTTTGCAAGAAATGGAACTCAATATGCCGTTCTGTCCACAGAAGAGCACCTCATTTTCTCTTCAACTTATCCTCGCCGTCGCCGTCGCCCTCCCCTCCTTCCTCAACCTCGACATCATCCAGTGGACATAAGAAACCTCATGATAACAAGCTCCACTACCAAAGCCTTCTAAATTGGCCTGCTATCTTTAACGAGCCAATTCGGGAATCTGACCAGCATAAAGTAGTATTTCCAAACGTGAGCGATGTCGAAGTTTCTAAACCGATATTGTTATTTCCATCATCAGCAGCAGCAGCTAAACCTGACCTCCTGTCTAACCCCAATTCAAGCCCCAACTCAGCTTCATCTAGTGAAGCAAGCCAGGAATTGGGCTATTGCCTGCAAAAGTTCAAGGAGTTCACTTCAGACAACCTGGGCATTCTTTCCAATGCATTGGAAAGGAAAGTCCCATGGCAGAGAGATATCATCCGGGACATTGCTAGTACAGTCCTTAAATGCAGGTCAGGCATGATGAGATCCGAAAGGGAAGACTGTTGGCTGTTCTTTTTAGGTGCTGATTGTGATGGGAAGGAGATTGTTGCAAGGGAGATAGCCAAGACCGTGTTTGGGTCTCATGATAGCTACATTTCCATCGGAATCGGAATCGGATCTAGCAACTATACCACAAGAGCTGATGAGGATTCGGCCGAAGAAGTGAGCAACAAGCGGGCAAGAACTAGTGAGCATGGTGGAAGCTGCCGCCCTTATGACAGATTTGTGGAGGCCGTGCAAGATAACCCGCGGCGTGTGTTCTACATCGACGATGTCGGTCATATGGACTATAGCTCTCTCAAGGGGTTCAAGAGAGCAGTGAGGAATGGACATGCGGCGCCTCATCATCCTGATGGGAAGATTGTGTTTCTGAGGGATGCCATTGTCATCTTCGGTAGTGACGAGTCATCAAGAGCTAATTGCTCTCCTCCTTGTCCTATTTCCATAGATCAGGTAGAGGTAGAGGTGGAGGTGGAGGGGGATGCTGAGAAGGGATCATCAGAAAGGACAAAAGAGGAAGACATCATCGTCAATGGAGATGGCGATGATCAGTTGAAGGAAGAGCAGCAGCAGCAGTTTGGGATCTGGGATTTGAACATCAGTGCGAGTGGCGAAGGTGAAGCAGGTGATGATGATCAGAACTATTCACTTAGTGAAAACGGGATTTTGGAGCTAGTGGATAAGCAAGTAGTGTTCACAATTCAGGTCTTGTAAAATTGAATGTGACGACCACAGAAGTTGATTATAATTAAAACACCATACTTAATTATATAAGTGTTTTAATTTTTTATCTTTTGGGGGTCTTATCTTCATTAATTATATTGGGTTATATATATGTGTATGTGTGTGTGTGTGTGTGTGTTAGTTTCTTGTTATTTTCATTATTTCGTACTCGTATGAAGGAAGGAAGGAAGGAAGGAAGGAAGGAGATGGTATTAATTTGATTGACGACTAATTCGATGAAGAAGGAGAAGAATTACGAATTTGCTGACACGGTACTACTACATATGGAATATTTCATTTCATTTTATGTCAAACCAACAGAACTTCGAGTTTAATTGAAGTTATTGTATGTATACGTGAGTTTCTTTCTGCATGCATGGCTGCAAATGATCAGTTATTTTATTATATTATGAGTTAACTAACTACACTTGATTAGTCACGGTAAGCATCTCTCACTCTCTCTCTTTCTCAATTAAACGATGAGACTTAACTCAAGAATGAATGAATTAAACTGGATATAAATATATATATATATATATTAAGTTAATTGTATAGATGGCGCCAATGCAAATGGCATAGAACTGAAGGACTGATTGAATTATTTATAGATTATATATGCATGTATATATAAGACAAGATTAGTGAAACGTGCATAATGGAGGATATTATATTATTATTATACATATATATACACATATAGTGGGATATATAGTGCACAGAGATATTACTAGTATTATATAGTTAAATTAAGTAGATGATTAAATGATGGCGATGATGATGAGAAGGTAGAGAGGGAAACAAGGGTAGGGTAAGGCATATATACATATATATATATATTATTCATGAGTAAATGATGAAAAGGCAATTAAGGGGTAATCATTTATCACAGGATCATGATCAGCAGGATCAAGATCTAGATGGCGAGAGAGAGAGAGAGAGAGAGAGAGAGAGAGAGAATAAAAAAGCAAAGTGAGGTGGTGGGGGATTGGATTTGGGGTAAAGGAGACAAAGTTTCCACACATTGATCTTTATGCAGCAGTGGGTGAGTGAGAGTCTTTAGGGAAAGAAAAAAAAGGTGGAGAGAGGAGGAATTAGTTCAAATAAAATACTATGACCATGAGATAGCAATGAGACTAATGGATCAGTCAGTCAGTCAGTCAGTCGGTCGGTCTTCCCCTCTCTCTCTCTCTCTCTCTCTCTCTCATTCTAAAAGAGGTAAAGTTTTGAAATAATAAGAATAAAAAAGGGAAAAGGTAGTCTAGGTAGTGATGATATTGCTGCATCGAAGTAAGGGCAGCCTCCTCCTCGGGATCTCCAACTCCGATCCACTACCCACACCCACACCCACACCCCACCACACACATTTATATATCAATATTGTTGTTCCACTACTAATTGCATCATCATTATATACACTATTTATTATGAATGATCCGATAATGATGGTGAAAGCCTTGGGATCCCGCAAAAGTTGAAAAAGGAACCCTTGACCGTCATAGATCATACAAATGGGTGAGTGGCATTGAACAGAGACCAGGCTCAGACCCACTCAGTCACAGTCAAAAGCTAAAACAACAACGATTAGCGGATGCAAGTTGTGTTTGTTTTAATTTTCCTTTTTCCACGATGAAAATAAATATCATTCATTCATTCATTCGTTATACAAAGACAATCCCCAAACCCAAATCATACAAGATAGCATTTTGTTGGCATATATTATTGTTATACGATGATGATGATGATGGAGTATTTGGGTCACACCTCAACTGATGTCATGGTCGTGGTGATGGTGATGGTGATGGTGATGGGTCTCTCCCAAAGCGCATGAGAGCATGGGTGGCCAGCATAGAGGCTCTCCGCGTGGCCTCGGCAATACGGCCCACCACCGCCACCTTAGCCGTTTCTCTGTTCCATATCGGCTTCTTATCCCACCTGCACCAACCACCATATTTACTTCCACTTACTATTATTATTATTATTATTATTAGAGTCGTCTTCTCTAGCTATTGCTACCATTTACCAAGTAGTAGTGTATACTATAAAGTATCAGCAGCAGTACAATGGCAGTCCGTGTACCTACCAATCCTCGTGGCGAACCACTCTGCCATCCTGATCCGTGTACAACTTGATGAGTGATATCATGTCGATGCCTCTTCCCAGGAACTTGTAATGCTGCTTGTTATCTATCAGTATCTGCTCGGTTGGATTGGATCGGCACCGGCATCGGATCCACAAATGCATACAAATCACCACAACACCAGACACAGAGACAGACAGTCAGTCAGTCAGCATCTTCTTATTATTATTGTTGTTGCTGTCGCTGTTTCTTACAAACAACGTAACCAGCCCCCCAACTACTGATTGATGGAGTACTGAAACTACTAATATATAATCTATTCAATTAATTAATTAATTAATTAATGCTGCAGCTAGCTAGCTAGCAAGCAAGCAAGCACGCACCTCCACCCTTCCAGGCGATATTACATTCTCTTCCACACTATATTCCACGATTCTTGATTCACTGAAGATCTGCAATATTGCATTGCGTTGTAGTCAAACTACTTTCCAGTCAATCATTCAGCAACACAAAACAACAAACTGCATGCTTTATTTTTTTTGGATGAACCTAAAGCAGCAAGCCAGGCCTCCTCTAATATAATTATACATGCATCCACATTATATACGTACAAGTACTACCTTGGCAAGGGAATAGAATGCCGATTTAATTTGTGGTACCCTGCAGCCAAGCAATCAAGCAAATCACCCAAGGATAAAAAGATGGCTCCTACTACAACTGCAATATAAATTAACAAATAATGAAAGAATTGAACTGAACTGAACTGGACTTGGGCCAACAACAACAGCCAATGTATTTAAGTGGGAGGACTAACGAGCTTACTTACCCATGTGCTCGCATCAGTGGGTCTTCAAAGGTTGCATTTGAGGCGTAGATTTCAAAATCTTTAGGTGTTGCTCGGGATGCATATCTGAGATTATTTACATATATGATCACAACTTTGATTAATTGAATCTCCAAAAAGGATCGCCAAATAGATATATGATCATATTATATCATATATGGTTCAAAGACACCTTGATTCATTCATTTCCAAGAATGCATTTATATCTTTCAAATCATAAGCTAACTTGAAAGATGCTTACATAATTAATCAATCTATCTCAACATGAAAATGGACATACAACATCATTTACACAGTAGAAATGAAATGGCAAAAATGTTAGAGAAATCGTATATGATTGAAGAAAATGGGGAGAAATTGAATTTTGCATTGTATAAATGATCTTAGATATATTTCTGAGTCATTTAAATTCTTTTTTCTTCTACGATATTTCGAACGCTTCGGATTTTACGAAATTCATATGAAGATAAAATAAACTAACACTAAAAAATTGGGCAAAATTCTCGCACGTAAAAGGTTGATAGATTACTTGTGTATGAAAGAATATATTTTCCAGAATTACGAAGGAAGATTATTCTCAATGAAAGTATTTCACTATCTTTTTTTTTTTTTTTTTTTTTCAGATTAACAAGACTCTCTTCCAAATTTCTGTGAAGACAAAAAATGATATATATAGATGAGAAATGTCTATTATGAAAAGATTTCAACTTGAATTTTGAATAAAAAAAATAGAATATTTTCTTGAAAGTACGCCATTTCAAATTTAAATTGAAGATATTCAATCTTGCCAATTCAAATTTAAAATTAATTAAATCTGAAGTTTTAAAGGTTTTATGCAAGAATTAAATTCTTAATTTAAAAATAATATTTTCAAATAATGATATTGTAAAATATCACAATATTTTTTAGGAAAACACATTATCTCTTTACTGGTGAATAGTAAAGGATTCTTCCTTTAGTATGAGTAAATGAAGTATTCTTATATTACAGGAAGGAAGTAAAGAGAATTACACAATATTATCCTCAAATTAGTCATGATCATGACTAATTCCATTCATCCACATATATATATCCATATATCATCATTTTCACCTTCATTTTGATATACTTCACACTTTGTTAAATATCGACAGGCATCCTCGAACGGTATATGGTAATAACTAATAAGAGAATGAGCTTCTTCCTGAAAAAAGGCATGAAAAATCTTTGGGAGGAGAAGAAGAAGAAGATGCTGTCTAACACATCGCTTTGTCCTTCATTTCAAAGTTCAAGGAATCATGAAAATCAGAGTTCCTTTCCTGTATTCTTACAAATCAGTCTCAAGCAACTACTAGAGACTAATAAGCTGTTAAGTAAAATAGTCAGCTCTCTCTACTTGCCAGAACATGAATTTCCCACACCTTAATGATTGATTCAAGTGACTGATCCTTTAAGGACTTGCACACTCAGACTACCAAAGAACTAGCAACTTAAGCTTGAGATTAATGCTGCTATATGTTCAAACTGGCTGATTGTATGGAAATGACTTGACTTGACTTGAATAGGCAGGCAGGCATACATGGAAGCAGATTTGCTCACTCTCTCTACCAGAATAGCTGACAGCAATGGAGCGAGCATATATCTCAAAATCAAAGTGGCAGTTAAATAGGGAATTCCCAGCTGTGTTATCTTATATGTGTGAGTATATTGATTCTGTTCCCATCACCAATCATTCCAATTCATACTGCTGTTGCTAGTTGCTACTGCTAGCTCATGAATGGCACACACAGAATCGTCTACCAAATCAATTCATATGCTACTCACATCAGATATTCCTTGACTTGACTGACGGTTGCATACCTATGGTACAAGCTGGGAAGGGAAGGGAAGGGAAGGGAACTCACAGATTGAGGAGGTGAGGGAGTATAGAATCCAATACGCCTCCTTGTGGTTTGCAATCGGAGGAGGTGGCTTCTCTGGGTTGTCCATGATCCTCAGCGATCTTCACAGTGTCTGTCTTCAAAAAATACCATCACCATCACCATCATCATCATCATCATCAACAACAACAACAACAGACCAAAAGAAAGCCGGTGAACAAGAGTGAGTGAGTGAGTGAGTGAGTGATGCATTTCAGCAAGTGGAAAGGAGTAATCTGTTTTTTTACCTTGCACACTCCAGCTATCCATGATGGGCGGGGGCGGGCAGAGAAAAATGATACTTCATATGGTTGTAGATACGAAAGAGGAAAAGGATTGGCCGGTTGGGTTGGGTTGGGCGGCTCCCAAGAAATGGAGAGTGAACTGATGATTGTCGTGGCGCCACGTGTTGTATTTCTGTCCGTTAGCCCTTTGTCATTCATGTTCAGGTCTTCCCTTCCTTTGTCGGCTTCAAATCAATTTCTTTCCAGAGGCTTTCTTTAATTCTCGAGATATCATTTTTATCATTTTTACTCTTTTTATTCATTCAAAATATTTATTTCCTAGTAAATATCAAAATTTAATTTTTAGCTAAATTTACATGCTTTTATTAACTAACAATTTTACTAATTAATAAAATATTTATTACAAAATTTCAAATGACAGCCAAAAGAAAGAGTACAAGTTATTATTCTCTTGTTCCAGCCAATTAAGCATAATACTCTTTTACTTTCAAAAAGTTTTTTTTCGTTTGTCTAGTACATTTTTCTTACTTAAAAATATATATATTTTTGGCTCATCGAAGATTGTCATTTATTTTTATTGGTCTAAAAATAAGTTTATTATTTTTTAATTTAATAATTATACTATTTATATAATATAAATGTTACGCACAAAAAATAATAATAATAATAATAATAAGGATAGCAGGATTTTAAAGGAAGTTAGACACTAAGTTGAATGGAAAAGGAAAAAAATTTGCGCTCAGGTCGGTTGTTCCTCGATCGGATTGGCAGATCGGAAGGTCTGCGGTCAGATAGGCAGGTCGGTTGGTCCTCGGTCGGTTGGTCTGGTTGGTTGGTTCGCAGATCAGAAGGTCCGCAAGTCGGATAGTCAGCGAGTCGGACGGTACGCAGGTAGGAAGGTCCGCAGGTCGGAAGGTCCGCAGGTCGGATAGTCTGCGAGTCGGACGGTCTACAGGTCGGACGGTCCGCAGGTCGGATAGTCAGCTAGTCGGACGGTCTACAGGTCGGACGGTTCGTAGGTCGGAAGGTCCCCAGGTCGGATGGATAGTCAGCAAGTCGGATCAATAAGTCGGATGGTTTGCAGTCGGTTGGTTCGCAGTCGGTTGGTCTGCCATCGGTTGAGTTGGTCAATACGGAGTTTGGACCAAGCGAACGTCTGTTAATTAGTTGCCTAATTGAGTGAACAGTAGTTCAGTCGCTTAATGGGGCGACCAATGAGTCGTTTGGTCTAGCGACTAATTGGTCTCTGGAATGGTCGGTCGAGCTAGTTGAGTTCTGGAATTGGTGGAAGCGTTTGGCGAGACGGTGTAAGACACGTGTCAATGAAGGAGAAATTAGTGGGCGGTTGCTGTAACCAACAGGCGACGGTTCTGAAACGTTTTCTTGAAGGAATATTTAAGGATGCGGAGTTTTTATCTTCAATCATCTTCAATCGACATCAAATTCAAGATAATTGCTTTTGGGGATCACCACCTTATTTTCCGGTCTGTAGTTTTTATTTTCCGGTTTATTTTCTGTACCGTACAACAGTGTTTAGAGATTCCTAAATCTCAGACACTAAATATATCAAATTCGAAAATAATTTCTTATTTTCGGATTTTACTTTTTATTTGTTAAAAAATACATCAACAATAAATAATTGTACTTAGCATGAATTATACAAATGTCATTACTCGTCAGCCTGGTGTGGTACGAGGTTGGACATGTGACCTTAAAGTTGTTTGTAGGTTTTAATTGGATTTGTGACCCTAACGTTGGTTGTGGGTTTTAATTTTAGGGTTTGAATTTTTTAATAGCAAAAAATTAAATTTGAATAATTATTTAATGTGATATTTTGAATGTAAAATAAATTTATAACAGTATAATATTAAAAAGAATAATTACTTAATTTAATATTTTTAAAAAAATAGTAAAAATATGTAGTAAAATACAATAACACAGCAATGTAAAATATCATTCATTGCCCCACTTTGAATCACAAGTTCGTTCTTGTTTTGTTGTATAATAAAAAATTCACTTCCGATACATAACAAAGTGATGAACACTTTAAATTCTTCCTCATCCGGTTAGGATTAATCTAAACCTACCCGATGTTAATCTATTTATCATTCTGGCGGTCGAGGTTCTTTTGTATAAACATAGATATTATTGTGACTTTATTTCTTTAATTGAATCTCATTTGATTAACGAAAGTTCATTAAAAACATATTTCCCATACAATGTGTTTTTTTTTTCCGAATTTGACTCTTCGAGTTTAGTTGGCTGCACTCTAGGTCTCACCTAAGAACCAATAACTATTGACTGCTTACTTTGAATCCAGGAACTACTAAATTGAAGGAAAAGGCGGCTCTTAGAACAATTGTAATGACTTTGTTATAAAAAAATTTTAATATCATATTAGAAACTTTTTCTAACACTTTTAAAAATACATTACACAGTAGCTTTTATTTTGACAGAAAAAAATTTAAAAATTTGACCAGACCATGTTGCAGAAGAAGTCTAATTCAAATCATTTTTTTATTTTTTTCTGTCTCTCTCTCTCCACTACCTTTTTCTCTCTCCACGTGCTCTCCTTTTCTCAGATATTACTTGGACAGATGAGATTATAATGTTTTTATTTGTAGTTACCATTGCAGTTGCTCCCCTCCCCCCTATAGCCTAGATATCTCATGTCTAATAACTCACAAGAAATGTAATGGCTATTAGAATTAGAATAGGGTAGACAACTCAGTACTGAAAAGCATGAGACTTTAGCTAGAACAACAGGCAGAGAACATTTGCTGTCAGAGAATCCTTCGATATGAAGCAAGATGGATCTTAATAGCAATAGCGCCTCACTCCTGACTTTAGAGAATTGGAGTTGACATGAAATGGATCACGGAAGAAGAGAACTCATGCCCTATAGAGCATGTTATCCCATTTTTAAATTGATTTATTCTGCAGCCAACATAGCATTCCTGCCTTGGAATACATGCATCATTCATTATTCACACCACACACCACACACATTAAATAAATAAATAATACACGCATCATTGTGTTTATCTGACAACAAGAGCGAACATCCTGAGAATGGCACGCACAGTTGCAAGTTCTCAGAGCAGTAACTTAAAGGCGAATGACAAGAGCATTTACAAGAATACATATACATATATTATTCATATTTTACAAGGTAAGCACATCCAAAATCTGACCACCCTACTCTCTCATGTCTCTGTCCGGAACATTCACAGCAACAGAAAAAAAAAAAAAAAAAACATTCACAGCAACAGCAAATGGGGCCAAATAATACAAATACGCCACTGCACATGGAATAAACTAGAGAGCCCAATCATATAAAGTCATGCCAAGGATAAGTAGCAGGGGAGATGGTGCTTAAAAGCCAAGGTCAATGAAGGGAGGGAGTCGTGGAGTAGAGTCGACCAGCTGAGTTACTCAGGCCTAGCGCTTAGGCTCATTTAAGCTCTTGCCCTCGAAAAACTCTCCAAGCATATGCTCAAGATCCTCAGGTGTGTACCTGATGTACTTCTGGGGGTTCTTACCATTCTCCACCAAGAGCCTGTGATGCGTCAAGAGGCACAACTGTGTCAATGGAATACCATACTTGAAAAGCAGGTTGGAGTCCACATTTTCCAGAACTTTATGGGGGATATTATCACATCTCATTATACTTTTGTTTTTAATATTTAATACAGTGCAAAAGGGAAAAAACATAAAAGGCAGTACCCGTATCGCTTAATGAAGGATCTGTATGCTGGAAGTAAGACTTCAGCAACAGCAAGCCTCAGTGATTCTCGAAGCTCAGTATCAGGCACAGTCCACTGAGATTGTCTTTGATGAAGCTCTTCGAATTGCATATTGAACGTCTTTAATCTGGATAATGCATCGCAATTATTAAGTCAACAGCTAGCAAGCAATAAATAGATAACAATATGATGGACATTCTCCAAATTGGTTTAGTCCAGAGACCTGTCCTTGATGATCGCTCTAGAAACCCCACTACTATTTCCACCATCGGGGCCAACAGCACTGCCACCCCCAGATGATGTCAAGCCTTGGACAGAAAGGCATTGCAGGATCTGTGAAAGAAAAGGGAAAGTGAATCGCAAACCCAAAAAGACAACTATAAATCCCATGGTCACCTTCCTAGAAAGTAGAAGGTTTTAAAATGAAAAGACACGTTCTACTAAATCCATACAGCTTAAATATTACTACAGATTCAAAGAATATATTCTGAAACTTGTGATTTGAAATGTGGGATTCTCAGAATAAATAGCTATAGTTAAACCTAAAATTGTTTGGAGATGGATGACCAATTTTAGGTTTAACTTATGTGCATCATATAAGTAACATAGGTAATACCTTTGCCCAAGCAATCCTCTTATACTGGTTTGCATGTTGCTGCACAATTCTCCGATGTCTCTGAACCCAATCATCACCTAACAAATCCTTGGCTTCTGACCTAAACACAAGCAAATAAAAACCTCAAAAAACAAATAATTAGCTAGCAGTGACATAGCTCAGCATATAAATGTGATATCAACCTGCGAACAGATCTGACCATATAATGGATGTTGTTCATCAGAAACAAGTGTGTAAGAGAGGGATCTCTATATTGCTTAGATTTCCCATCCAAATTGGTCTGAAGTGCTTGCATGATTCGCATTGTTACAGCTGCTAGCTGTGAATTTGAGTCGTCTCCTTTTTCAAACTCTTGGAAAAGTTGCTTCAGTGTTGATTGGTAGCTGGAAGAAATGGTAACATAATGATTGATTGCATCAATATGAAGTAGGTTTGATGTTTATGGTTAACATGATTTAAAAATGAAATAGGAAATGCATATGCATAAGCCTGTCTATAACAAATTTTCTGCTAGAGCATGATAATGAAGATATTTTGAAGAAATAAGATTGTAAATGAATATAGTATGTGGCTTACTAATCATTGAGAAACCATTTGATATAACATTATTGATCATTCAGCAGTCATCGAGAGGCACCACAACAAATTCATAGTTTGTGCGATCAATACATAATGTGTGCACAACTAATTAAGAACAGGTAGTCCCATGACAATTATTATACGTGTGTGTGTGTATATATATATATTCTTTTTCAAGAAAACAAAGTTCCCAATTTTATGACTGAAAATAGTAGTACATACACAAGACAATACATAGTTTGAATGATCAATACATAATAGACTAATTAAGAACAGGTTCCCCTACATATAGTAGTATATACACATGTCCTCTTGAAGAAAATACACACTACTTAATGGGATTCTTCTTCTTAGAAATGTCTACAATACTCATACTTTCTTATTCCGCTAGCTTAATGGTGGTGGTCATGCTTGCTTAAACAGTCAACTTCTCCATCTTTGGGGAACTACATAAAGTTGGCATGTGCTCTTATTCTAAACATTGCATGAAAAACATTGAACTGAAAAAAACAAGAAAGAAAGAAAGAAGAAAGGTATGATTGCTATTTTCCTGGTGTATTAGTTTAAAAAGCTACAATGTGAATACAGAGAGGTATTTAAAGATTATTTTATAACTCAAAGGCTATCACTAAGGAATCAAAACTTAAAAATCACAAATAAAGGGCTTGTCTTACCATTTCTATATATTATATGTTTATGATGATTGATGAGATTATAGCAAGATGACTTACTCAAACAAGAATTTCACATAGTTGATCACATAGCTAGTAAGAGGATGGACAGTCCCATCTGCAACAGCAGTTTTAGTAGCATCTTTCTCAACTGCCTCTTCAAAGTCACCAAAAGTATCTTGTGCAGTTTGAGCAAGCCTTTTTGTCAATCCCACAGCAGATTCTCGAATTTCATTGCAAGCTTTACCTCTGAAAAGTGCTTCTATCTGCAGGATTAAATTTCTCTGTTAACAATCTTTATATTGCTGACATGTTAAAGCAGCTTGAATGGCACAGACACCTTGACTAATACTCATAGATTAGCAGTAATGAAAGAAATCCCAAACAATGGAATGGGCCTGTCTAACCTAGCTGCTTTAAGCATTTCTAGAATACCAAACCCTTAAACATACCCAGCATCCAATTCACATCCTACAAGATATTCACCTAAGAATATTTTCATTACCTCTAAATGAAGCTCTCTCATGATTTCATACATATCTAAAAGCACAAATAACTTTTCAGGGGATCTCTTGCTTTTAGCAATGGCATCTCCAAAGCTAAGTAGCACAGCAACACTTCCAGTAGTAACATCAGCAAAACACTGATCTGTGAGAGAGTCAAAGCCCTCAAAAATTTGATCACAGACTTTACGTTCTCCAGCAAACAGCAACTTGACCTATTTGAGCACAAATAATTTTTTAACTCGGATCAAATTCAAAGAATTATGCAGAAGCTTTTTCAATAATACAACATACTGCAATCCGCATAAAATGGATCCAGTTCCCAATCTTAGCTTCCAAAACTTCCCACTGCATCTTTTGAACATCATCTTTGCTGAGCTTTTCCACACCCAGCTTGCGAAGGCTTTCTTCTAAAACTGGAGACCGGATATCTCTGCATAGTAGTGCATATTCTTTTTATCATACCATAGATCAACAGTTGCTAAATAGATCCTTCCCGAATTTCATGTGCATTTTACATGGTATGCATTTAAGTGGACCAATAAAATGTCATCTGGTATGGATGGAAGTTCAATGTGTATGGGACTGAACAATCAAATTTATAGAGACTATATATCCTTGGAATGATTCTTTTGTCTCTATTGCTGACCAAAACAGAAGAACACTCTAATCATCTTCAATAATAATAAAATTCAACAAATCCCCTGTATTTGTACATCTAGAACTATAGCATACAATCACAAAAATAAATTGCCTATGATTATTTTAGGATCCCAGTTAAACGAACAAAGTGCATTCCCCACGCTCATTTCCATTCTAATGATCAGTAAATATAAAATTGAGAATTTCTAATATTTAGGTAATTCCAAATGAGCTTTCCCCTCGCCATGCGTTTCAAGTAATACTTATATGCTGAGGTGCATTCCTCTATTTCATTAATATTAATTACTGTTTTTTGTGGTTAATTAGGTTAAAATGTTGTCTTTTCTTTTAAAAAAAAACAAAAAAGGATTTTGGTTAGTTTTCTTTTTCTTTAAAATAATTTTCTTATGTTTATTACAAAGAAAATAACACTAACCAAATTATAATCCAATATCCTCATGCACTATTTTCACAAGGAATCATCAACATACTCACAAAACCTAGCAGTTGTACAGTGGATCAATTCATCGTCATGAGAAAATACATGAAATATTTGCTCCCCTCCAACTCAATGAAGATCAACAGTGTTCAAACATTGTTATTGTTATAGGCTACTTTGGAAGAGAGGTTACTCAAAGTTACTGATCTCACAAAAAAATAAGTCTTAGTAATCCAAAATGGAGATCAATTCCATAAACTAGTCTACAAAACAGTGGCAGATCTCATTGCTGAGATAGTCTGACAAGGAAACTTCAGGGTATACAAGGCACAGTAAGTTAGAAACAGTGTTGTAAGGGAAAATAATTGAAGCTTTGAAAGCCAAATTTCAGCCTTCTAGGAGTAGGGAGAACCAGAGAACTACAGAACATTCTTATCTTAATGAAGAGCTAATGTTATAGAGTAATTTCCTAAAAACAGTGTCGAGCAGCAAAAGAGCCACAATTGAATATGGAGTAATATCATCTGTATAATAAATAAATTCAGAAATGCAAACAGATTTTTTATTTTTTTTTAAGTCCTAATGGCAGCTCAGAGGTAAAGATGGCTGTCACTAGTGATCAAGTTAAACTAATGAAGTTACTCAAGCATTTTTTAGTACCAAAAATAGGATACCTTAGGATCATTTTCCAAAAGAATAACAGAAGCACATAAATCTTGAAAGGATGAATAGTTAAAAAGACTTTCTCAAGCATTGTGATCCCAATCAATATTGAAAAGTGGATCACCAGAGAAAAGAAAACCAGGATCGGTGGGTTTGGTTGGAGGATTTTGCCCAGGATTTTACTATTCACTAATTTTTTTTCTTCAAAAACATCAAATCAAATATCAATTTTTTATTTCTTATATTATACTAAAATCAAAGTTTTTACTATTCAAACCCAAACCCAAACTCAAATCCAAAACCCCAACCAAACACACCCTACATTTTATCAACTTTCAAGTCATCAACACGACTAAGATTTAAAATTAACACTATATAGAAAATAATAGCCTTTGAAAAGAGCACAAATCCAAATTTAGGCCTCACATTTCTAGAAGAAAATAAAGATGATTACCTATATAGTTTCTGTAATTGATGTTGATTTCCAGCTTGAACCATCTGTTGTGCTAGATCATGCAATAAAGGCAGAATTCGGGGGGGAATCAGAGTTGGTGTAGTGTAAACAGAATTGTCCGCAACATGATTTTGTTGATCATTGTGATTATTTGATGATGGATGCTTGCCACTAGAGTCTCCAGGTGACCCTGATGATGGTCTCATGGAATTGGGAAGGCATTCAAAAAGACGTTCGGGTTCTACAGGTTTGCTGCAGAGATGAGAATTTTATTAAGAGAGAATAGAAAAACATGAGCAACCGGATTTATTACTTCCATGTTTGAGCTGAAAGAAGGAATCATCACGGCATACTCAGAACCTAAAAAGCATAGGGAAAATGAAGGAATGCATTCTTTACTAATTCAAAAGCATAATCGATAAATTATCACCTGATATTAGGAAATGAAAACATGTTAAATCGTGAAGAATATTCTCTCTGAGGTCTAGCAACAGTAGACAATTAGCAATGTTTGGTAATCATTGGAATACTTTTTACCTCCCTAGTAGCCAATTAACATGTCTTTGTTTTCATATCTTCATATTCAATATGAGACATTCACAAAACACAAAGGGTTTGTTCGTTTGGACATCTGGCTCTGGTTTCGCAATATAATCACTTTTCTCCCCTCAAAAAAAAAAAAAAAAAAGAAAAAAAAAATTAAAATATTATTTAAAAAAACCATACTCATTAAGAACATCACACCAAAACCTATTTACATCACATGCAAAACTTATTTCAAATGCCCCAACCAAACAAACCCATACCAATCCAAAAGTCAGTGCATAATAAAAATAATTCACAATTAGGGGGAGAATATGTTTAAAGTTGAAATTGACAACAAGAGAAACCTGTTATCAGAATAAATTTGAGAATGGGTCATCCAATAAAACGCACAATAATACTGGTCTAACTTCATGCATGCAAAATTTATAGGAAAAGAAAAACAAACCTGTAAGAAAACAGAAGTTGTTTGAATTCTTCTTCCAACTTTGATATGGCCTTGGCAAGTAAAGTATTTGTGTGGTTGAGGACTCCATCACTACTCTTAAAGCTTTTGTTGTTGCTGAAAAACTGAATGTTGTTCCGTAGTTGATCGATTGCCTCAAGATAACTTTCCAGGTCCTCATGGGGACCTTTCAATATTTTTGCTTCAGCCTATAGAAAACAAGGGAAAACATGTAGCTAGAAGGCTGAAACGTCATAGACTTAAACATGTTAGACAGTACAAATGACTCGAAGTTAGATTAGTAGAATTGGGTCCTGCAGAGCTGAAATTTCAAATACCATGCTAACTATAAATTGCCTTATAAAGCATAAATAAATTTCAAATACTAGATCTTCCAACTTATTACAATGAATATTTATCTATCACATTACTGGCAGGACATTGACCTCACAAATACTGTTCAGTATTCATGTGAAACTAACAGTGCCTAAAGAGACATAAGCCAGAAGCTATACAATAGAAATGGATAAAAACACCATAATACAAATCAATTCATCGGCTTTTTTTTTTCTTATTTTTCCTTTTCTTTTCAAAGGGAAGAAAGAAAGAAGGAAAAGGACCGAAAAAATATCTAGTTCATGTTTAGTAATAAGATACTCAACATATCTATCATTGAACTTACAGCTGAACAATCAAACACGGAAAGAAAATGTAAACAATAAATATTTCCAATAAGGGGAAGCTTACCTGGCGGGTTTGGTCAAATTGTGACAATATGACCTCAGCAGCCTTCAAGGTTTTATCGATGTTTTCATGAGCTCTTCGAATTGCATGCGTTCTAATCTAGAATCGCAAATCCAATGTGAATTAAAAAATGATAAGCAAAACAAAGATCATAATCCAGTACAAGTCAAGGCAAATGTGTAATATAATATGTCGTCATCTTAGAGGTATTGTAATAAACCCCTGAAAATTAGGGAGCAAATGTGATATAAAATTGAACCGTAGCACCAGAGAGAATTTTTGCACAAGTGCATTAGTGGAAGTCCTTAGATTAGCAGCTGAGGATGAATCTTTGAAAACAAAACAAAGTGCTTTTTTAAGTTATCATTTTCCGCTCACTTACGAAAATCACAAAATATGGCAAACCCTGACCCATTAGAGGTTAAAAATACCAAAAGCTTGCACTTGAAGGTTCCAACTGGAGTTTCAAGGTTATCATTTTTTCCTCACTTTAGGCAATCACAAAAAATGACCAAGGCTGATCTATTAAAAGTTACAAATACCAAAAGCTTCCAAGTGGAGTTCAAGTATCACAACAGATTTTAATTGACAAGGGTATTTTTGCACCTAAATATAGGGAGAGCATGATCAAATTCGGTTCATCAAAACATACATTTCAATTGGCAATATAAGTTCTTAATATTGATGGGGCCTAACTAAAAGTAGCTAATACATTAGAATAACAAGGATTAAAGTAGGAATTAAATATGAAACCAGATCTTCTCAGCAGCTCAGTTCTCTCATCATTTCCCTGGCCAAAAGGCTAGGGCAAGCAGATTTAAATGAAAAGAGAACGTTATTTCTACCAAAGCGAACAGCGGATATACAGATCAATAAATCTCGAACGGGCACCCTCACCAACTAATAAAGATCTCAACTTTCCAGTAGTCATTAAACCCAGAAATTTACAAAGCTAATCCGAGAGAAGAAGCAAATTTGAAATTCAATCGAAAATTGTAAATATAAAAGTAATGAAGCGATTCGTACTTGAGTAGGGCGCATGGCGGTTTCAAGAGCGGAGAGACGGTGGTCAAAGGATCCCAGGATTGAGACCATATTGTCTGTAATGGACTGGCTCTTCATCAGAGCCTCTCTCATCTGTGCTGCTCTCCCACTGAGCACATCCACCCCCGCCACTCCTCCGCCACCGCTTCTTCTCGCCGGAATTCCCATCCTTCTCTTCACTTATCTTCCCTCCGTAATTTCTTGGGAATTCTGTGAGAAACAAGACACAAAGGAAAATACGGAGGGAGAATGGAGTCAAAGGGAACGGAAGCGTGAGACTAACTGTGACTGGATTGGGAAATTAGAAAAGAAACCCCATATAACTCGTCAGGCTTTTTATTTTATCTTTAACTCGAAGAGACTTGAAAATAAATACTACAAGAAACTTTTTATTCAGTTGGAATTAACTAATTAATTAGTTTTAAATTACTTTGCTTCTTCTTTTTTTCTTCTGCATAATGTCTGTGAACTTGAATTCATAATTGAAAAAATACGAAGAGAGACAAAAGGACCAGTACATATTCTAGTGGCGAGTAGTCCCCAGCTGGTCTCAATCTCAATGCGAGAATGGTTGGGCTGTGGGGCGAAAGCAAATAAATAAGAAGTTAGAGGGCAAGAATGAGAATATGAAAGAATGACGAATGATGAGGACGGTGGTTAGTTAGTTTGAGAATTGAGGCGAGACTTGACGAGAGAGACGACAGGCTGTTTAGTGCTTTGCCTTGCCTGTCTGTAGTTTGCCTCGCTTGCAATTGCAGTCTTCCTTTTATTCGATTGGCTTCATCCAAAGTCTTGTTTTATAGCTAATACCAATAAATCCTTTAGGGGAGTGTTTGTTCAGTTCCACAAACCTGGCCGAGCCCTAAATAGAAAAAAACACGCAGCTGCATTATCCAAAGTTTTTGAGTTAGTTGGTCCGACAGAGAATTTTGAAGTTTTGTAGTTTTCTTTATATATATATATATATATATATATATTTTTGGTTGAAATGACTTGAATTTAAATTCGTTGAAATTAGTTAAATCCGTCTAATGTATTCTTTTAATTTAAATAAACTTGGAGATATAAAATGTGTAATATATAACTAAGTCGTTCTCAATAAATCTGTTTTCTATTTATGTCTGTGGGTGTAGCTAACACGTTGTTGGTGAACCACGTAAACCTGTGTCGTCTTTATATTTCTATTTGTTATTCGATCACTAATCATAATCTGTCACAACAAACTGATATCAAAGCCTGCGCGTTTTTTATCAGGGTTCTGTTTATTTCCGCGCTGCTACAGTTTCGTGAGTCGATCAACAATGTCTGTTTTCAACGTAAAGGTTGACAAATTCACCGGGAGAAATCATTTTGGCTTATAGCATATCAAGATGCAATCTTTACTGAAGCAGCAAAATTTGTAGGCGCAGAAATAGATGATGAAGAGTGGATACCGCAGGAGAATACCCACTCGACAATCATGTTGTGTCTGTCTGATAATGTAATCATCGAAGTTGTCGATTAGGAAACTACTGTTGGCTTCTGAAGAAATTGAAGAGTTTGTACATAACGAAATCTCTAACCAATAAATTGATTTTGAAGCAACGTCTGTTCATACTACGAATGGAGGAAGGTACTTCTCTTCGGGACCATCTGGATAAGTTGAATAAAATTCTACTTAGATCTTTGAAATGTTGATGTTAAGGTAGATGATGACGATGTTGCCTTAATTCTGTTAGTATCATTGCCCGAGTCATACGAGAACTTTTTTTAATCTTTTATTTCTGTGCAAGATAATTTATCTTTGGAAGATGTTCGATCTGCCCTCCACTTAGAGAAGATCGTCAAGAAGCATCTGGTTCGGCCACATAAAATCAGGCATCAGGGCTGTTTGTTATGGGTAAGGGGCATAAGAAATCTGGAAAGAAGAAGCCAAACCATAAAGGTTCAAAAGGTCCTAAACCCGGAGGTATCTGCAATTATTGTAAGAACCGGAGCACTAGAAAAATTAATGTCCTAAGAAGAAGATGCAGCATGAGAAGAAAGCGGTGGTTCTACAGCCGTGGCAAAAACTGATACGAATTCTGAAGAAGAGATGGTCTTGGTTGCTGATGAACAGTCACAACATAATGATGTGTGGGTTCTAGATTCAGGGACATCATACCATATTTGTCCTAACAAGGAATTCTTCTCGACCTATGAGTAAATAGATGGAGGCAATGTTTGCAAGGTGTTTGGAATTGACTCAATCAGGTTACAGACACATGACGGGGAAGTTAGGCATGTTTCACAGATGACGAAGAATCTGATATCATTAAGTCTTTTTTACAGCAAGGGTTTCAGTTTCAGATGTGAGGGTGGAGTTATGTATGTATGTCAAGGTTCAAAGGTGGTTTTAAAGGGCTTGAAACGTGGTACTTTGTATTTTCTGTGAGGTTCTACCGTGATAGGTTCTGCTTGTGTTACATTATCTGAGGTTCAGACTAAGGATATGACCAGACTGTGGCATATAAGGCTTGGCCATATGGGAGAAAAAGAGCTGCGAATTTTGTCAATGCGGGATTTTCTTTTTAGGCATAAAGTGCAGAATCTTGAATTTTGCAAACATTGTATTTTTAGGAAAGGTTAATCATAGCAAGTTTTCAAAACAAGGTGTTCATCAGACCAATGGGACTCTTAACTACATCCATATAAATTATTGGGGTCCGTCACGTATTGAATCTATTAGAGGTCACAAATTTTTTGTGTATGATTGATGAGTACTCAAGGATGACTTGGGTAATTGTGATGAAGCATAAAAATGAAGCATTCAAAAGGTTCAAATAGTGGAAGACCTTAATAGAAAATCAGACTGGGAAGAAGATCAAGAAGCTGCGAACCGATAATTGTCCAAAATTTTGTTTGTCTGAGTTCAATAAGTTTTGTAAAGATGAAGGGATTGCCCGACATCACACCATTCGAGATACACTACAGCAGAATGGTGTGGCAGAACGCATGAATCAGAAATTACTAAAGAGATCGAGATGCATGATCTCTCATACTGGTTTGGCTAAAAGGTTTTGGGCAGAAGCTGTAAATACGGCATGCTATCTGATCAACCGTTGACCTCAGACTGGCATTGATTGCAAGACACCTTACGAGGTATGGCCTAATAAACCTGTAGATTATTCATTGTTGAGAGTTTTGGTTGTACGGTTTACTATCATATGAGCGAGGGTAAATTAGAGCCAAGAACTAAGAAAAGGCATATTTGTTGGTTTTGGGGATGAAGTTAAGGAATATAGAATATAGTCACCTTTTGAGAATAAAGTTAGACTTAGTAGGAATGTCATATTTGATATTCTATGTTTAACCCCATTATGAAGTCCATTGGTGCATAATTGTAGTAGTATTGGTAAACAAATGGAGCTGAAAGTCACTTTCGAGCAGAGTGCATCACAACTCCAAGGTGGAGAAGATCAATATACTATTATTGAAAATATTACATCTGGAAGCACCAATTCAGATGTTCGGATGCTTCTACTGTTGAAAATACTATATCTCAAAGTACTAATTCAGATGTTTCAGATGCTTACTAGACGAGTATAGTTGTTGCTAGAGCAAGGAGGATAGGCGTAAAGCCTTTTTTGAGATATGACTTCGATGATATGGTGAGTTATGCCTTACAAGCAGCTGATAAGGTGAAAGAGAAACCATCAATATACAAATAAGCTATTTTTTGTAGTTAGTTTCTCACTGGCTCGTTGCAATAAAAGAAGAGATAAAATCACTTCTCAAGAATGGCACTTGAGAGCTGATCAAACGGCCTAAATATAGAAAAACTATTACTTATAAATGGATTTTCAAGAAAAAGAAAGAAGCCACACCGAGTGAGGGTATCAGATACAATACTCGGTTAGTTGCAAGAAGGTTCTCGTATAAAGAAACAGGTTGACTATAATGAGATTTTTTCATCAATGCTCAGACACACTTCTATCAGAATGCTACTAGCAATAGTTGCACATCAAAATTTAGAACTTGAGCAACTAGATGTAAAGACTACTTTCTTACATAGAATATTGAAAGATAATATATGCATGGAACAACCAGAGGGGTTCGTTGTTCCTAGGAAGGAAGATTATGTTTGCAAGCTGAAGAAGTCCTTATATGGACTAAAACAGTCTCCAAAACAGTGGTATAAGAGGTTTGACAGTTACATGATTCAGTTGGATTATGACAGAAGTCCGTATCATTGTTGTGTGTATCACAACAAAGTTGATGATGGTTCTATGATCTATCTTGTTCTGTACATGGATTATATGTTCATAGCTGCGAAGCCCACATTTGATATTCAAAAGTTGAAGAATCTACTCAGTTCTAAGTTCGATATGAAAGATTTTATTGCTGCTAAAAAAATTTTGGGCATGGAGATATACAGGCAAAGAGAACAGAATAAGTTTTTCTTGTCACAGAAGAGCTATATTCAGAAGATTTTGTACATATTTGGCATGTCTATAGCTAAGCCTATTGATACTCCAAGTACTGCCAATATTCATCTGTCATATGATTATGCACCACACTCTGTAGTTGAGCAGGAGTATATGTCTCGAGTTCCATACTCTAATGCAGTAGGGAGTCTGATGTATGCTATGATTTGTACTAGACCTGATCTCGCACATGTTGTTAGTGTTGTCAGCAAGTTCATGGAACGACCTCGAAATGAGCATTGGCAAGTTGTGAAAAAGATTTTCCGACATCTTAGAGGTACGTCTGATGTTGGTCTTATTTATGGAGTATACTCAGTGTTCTTTGATTGGTGATTCAGATTTTGATTATGCTAGAGATGTCGACAATAGAAGATCTATGACTAGTGTCTTTACTCTTGGTAGTTTTGTTGTTATTTGAAAGACAACTTTGCAGGTTACAGTGAATCTGTCCTATATGACTTTGACAAAAGCTGCTAAGGAGGGAATCTGGTTAAAATAACTAGTTGGCGATCTTGATCTACATCATGATCAAGTTGTTGTGTATTGTGATAGCTTGAGTGCAATCTCTTTAGCCAAGGATCAGGTCCATCACGAGAGGACCAAACATATTGATGTGAGGTATCACTTTCTAAGGAATGAGAAGAGAGTCAAAGTGATGAAAATAGGAACTGCTGATAATCCTGCTGATATGTTTGCCAAATCAGTCCTTCATAGCAACTTTCGACATTGTTTTAACTTGCTAAATGTCACAAGCTGGTAGTTGCCTGAGAAGGGGCAAATCTGAGGCATAATGAAAGAGTATGTTCATCTGACATTATAATGATGCATCTGAAAGTGAGATTCAATTGAAAGTGGAGATTTTTTGATATGCCTTGCTAGTTTGCTATTTCGCGAGCTTTCACGGAGGCCTCTAGTTTGCCACTTTGATGCAGTATTGGCTTCGAAGTTGATATAGGGTTGAACCCGTCTGATGTATTCTCTTAGTTTATTTAAATAGACTTAGAGATATAAAATCTATAATTTGTAATCAAGCCGTCCTCAATAAATCTATTCTCCATTTCTACCCGTAGATGTAGCCAACGCATTGTTGGTGAACCACGTAAATCTGTGTCTTCTTTACGTTTCTTTTGTTATTAGATCACTAATCCTAATATGTCACAACGTTTTCTTTAAAAAAATTTATAATAATAAGATTTATTGGATCAAATCATCAGTAATGAAAAAGAATTTTGGTATGATATAACCCCAGCTGGGAGTGTGCCTTAGAAAAAATTGCATAAATGGAAAAAAATCCATTCTCCTAATAGAGGCATATTCGAGTGAATGAAAAATTAAATGAGAATAGTATGAAGGAGCTAGAGTTGACAATTCCAAAAGTTACATTAGATGATCATAATGAACATTGATAGAAATAGAAAAATGAACCATATTATTAGGGTGATAAATAAAGTACATTGAAGAACAATAATAAAGAAATAAATGTCAAAATAAAATGGATCAGGAAATGAGGAACAACAAAAAAACATCAAAACAAGTTTCAATATATTCTCCATAATTCGACCATGTTGGTGTTTAAGTATGTTGCAGACGTGATTCAGCAAGCCACATAAACGAAATGACATGGTTGCGTGATGAAGAGGCTAAAAAAGGAAAACACCTATGAAAGATAGCCATATTTATGGAAAAACTACGGACGATAGTTTAGTAGTTGAAATATGAAATAATTGCAACGGTTAGACAATTAGGCGGTTAAGTTGTTGAAGTTTGTTGAAACTGCTATAAGACACCGCTCACTCACTTGTTGCATTCCTCAAAGATTAGGCACAGATCTTCCTTCTGACTCTGCTACGGGGAACATCGACCTTACAGAGATCACTGTTGGTTTTATTTTATTATGGAATACAAATATTCTCTTTGATCCAATTCAAAAAATATATATTTTTTTTACTATTTTCATGTGTTCTATTCAAAAGTATCTCTTTCTTATTTTAATAAGGCAAAATTGTTCATAACTCCCTTGTAGTTTCGAAATTCAGCGTAAATTTCCCCTCTACTTTAAAAATTGCATAGTACCCCCTTATACTTTAAAAAACGTTGCATGAAACCCCACCACCATGAAACTTTCCTCATGTGATAAGAAGATGATTTCATATCTATATGTTTTGCATGGTAAGGGGTTTTATGCAATATTTTTTAAAGTATAAGTGAGCGTCATGCAATTTTTTAAGGTAAAATGGGGATTTATGTTGACTTTCGAAACTACAAAGTAGTTTCATGCAATATTTTTTAAAGTATAAGGGGGTACCATACAATTTTTAAAGTAAAGGGGGAATTTACGCTGAGTTTCGAAATCACAAGGGAGTTATGGACACTTTTGCCTTTTAATAAAAGTAATCATATATTAATAACAAAATATCTTTTAAATTTTAATTAAATTACAAATATACAATCACACGTACAATTACTTTATACTCTCTTTGTCATTCAAATTTATTTTCACTTATTGTCATCTAAATTTATTCCCGTTTGTTTTTTAGTAAAAAAAAGTACCACATTTTCTAATTTTTCTTTACCAAAAAAAGTAAAGTTTCTATTTTTACATATTTTTCTCAAAACTCGTGTCCGATCAAATGAACACAATTAGATAATAGAGGGAGTATATAAAGTCAAATGGAATAATGTTAAAACTTTTTACACACTTTCACTTATCATCAAGGATGACCATTTGGTACATAGTAGTATATAATAATCACTCTGTTCATCTCTAATGTTTAAGTATTTTTATTTTTATCGGTTCAATGTTTATATTTTTTTTAGTAATTGTAGAATATATCACTAATTACTAATACTTTTTTACACTCTTTTACTAGTTTACCTTCACTTTATTATCACTTAGCGTTGCGTTTGATACACAAAAATGAAAACAGAAAAAAAAATAAAAATGTATGAATTAATTATGAAAAACGATAAGTAAAAATTAATTTATTGAAGATTTTTTTTTTTTTTTTGTGAATAAATATTGTTATATTTAATAGTAATTTTTAAATAATAATAATTTTGATATGAATTTTTATAAAATTATGAACAATACTTTTTTATTAAAATTATAAAAATTAAATAGTAAAATAAATAAATAAAAACATACATGTATACAAATTCATTTATCTTCGATTTTTTCATTTCTATGCAAATAGAAGAAAAATAAAAATAGAGTAATGAAAATATTTATTTTTGAGGTTTCATTCATCTGACACAAATGAACAAAATAAATTGAAACAACAAATTTCAAATTTCTGCTACCAATTCTCTTTACCAAACAATTTCTTATGAAATAAGCCAGGGGCGTTCTTGGTATTTCAAGGCTTCCACCACAAGCAGCAAGATTTGGTGCTGGGGGCGCATCCGTGGTGCCCTTCTGGTGATGGCTCTGTGCCGAATGTTAATCCATGTGAGCCCCCCGCTGCAGCGTATTCTCAAAGCTACCGCTACCCTCCCAGATACCACTCCAAGGCTCCACGTAATTTATTCGCAATCATCGTCCTCGTCCATGGAAAATCCACCGGAAGGTTACCGACGAAATGTCGGAATCTGTCTTGTTAACACCTCTAAGCAGGTGCCGCTTCATCACATTGTTTGCTGTCTTTGGATTTCTGTTTGACGATTCCATGTGGATGATAGGTTTTTGCTGCATCGAGGCTTGATATTCCAGATGCTTGGCAAATGCCGCAGGTAGGCTTTACAGTTATAGATTGGGTTTCTCGATATTAGATTCTGGAGTTTGATATATGAACATCAAAATTTTCCTACAGTACACGAAGGAGTCTTCAGCAGCAATGTGTGTTAGTGTAGTAAAAATTACCGCGATTATTGCAGTAATCATCCCATAGTTCTTTCTGTGAGGACTGAAGTAGTTTCGTATCACTCTCAGAGAATATTAATTCAAAACTGATGTGAGCTAAATTTCTTATGAAGAATTCTAGGCTGAAATGTAACTACACATCCACTGCTCGCTTCTACTTATTGATTGGTTCAAGATTGTATTTGAGGCCCCTTTTGCGAATGTCAATCTAACATTTTCTGTAATGTTTGATTGTTAAAGTGTGTATGATTCTGTAGGGTGGGATAGATGAAAATGAGGATCCAAAAAATGCTGCCCTTAGAGAATTGAAAGAAGAAACCGGTGTTACTTCTGCTGATATTATTGCTGAGGTATGGAGATACAGCGACTCAAATCCTTACTATTGTGTTTGTCAGAATAATTTCTATGCATTTTTCTTTCAGGAAACTATAAAGATCTAGCTTTATAAACCAGTAATAAGATTTGGTTACTGTTGTAACATCCATGTAGAATTTGAATCCTACAAGTTAGACTTTACTAATCTGTGTTAGTGTGACAAGCTAACTATAATATCTATAATATTAGGCAAATATAAAAATGGCACAGCTCTTTCTCCTAACACATCAGACCTACTCTCCGCTTTTCCTTGTATTTGTGTTGTTGTGTGCTTGTTTTGTTTTACTTAAGGAAAAAATATATATATTTATTTGTATAAGATGGAAAATTTCACATAAGAAAGTTATTAAAAAATAAAAAATAAAATTAGATGAGGATGCTGCAATGGTTTAAAAATTTGATGTTGATGGCTATGGATGAATATACAATCAGAAACTTTTATGCCATATTAAGCTCTGAATATCTTGAATTGAAGAGCTTAATATAAAGTGGTAAACACTTTATGTGATATCAAACAATATATATACACACACACATATACTCACTGCATATATGTCAATATGGTAATAACACCTGAATCTTGTAGCCTTTTGTAACATCATATGTTTATATGTATGACTGACGGTATGTCTATATTATTGCAGCAAGTAATGGAAGTTTTTCTTTAGATGATAGTTGAAATATTGCTCAAACATAAACTAAAATGAACAGATCTTTTACTCTTCTTGAACATACCTGTTTGCTGGAACTCTTGGATTAAATTGTCACGCTAATGCAGATCTTCAGTTATATGTGCTACCTAATTTCAGCTTTATATCAACCTTTATGATCTCTGTTCAAATTCATATTGGCTTTTATCAATTGCAATCCAAAGAAAATAGCTCTATAGATCCAAACCAGTGTGGCCACGAAGTCATCTTGTGCAAAAGTGTACTGGTGAACAGAGAAAAGTTTGCCGTGTTTTGTTTGAGTCTGAGAATACATATATATATCTTTAATTCTTCTGGAACTTGAGTGTGTAAGAACTATTCAGAAGCGATTTTTAACAGTGCAACAACTAGAGCTATTGAAGAAATACCTTTTTCTCCCTTGATTCGGCATATGGATGCAAAGAAGTGCTCTTTGTTGTTTCTAAGTTAATTTTTTTATCTGCAGGCACCATTTTGGTTGACCTATGATTTCCCTTTAGATGTAAGGGAAAAACTCAAGGTGCAATGGGGTTCCGACTGGAAGGGTCAAGCCCAAAAATGGTTAAAGTCGCTCCATTTCTGTTAATCTGTGTGTTTTTTAAATTTTTTCCTGCATCCACTTAGAAGAATCCTCTTTCCAGTTTTGCAATCTCATTGAGGTAGGACAAGTCAGTGTCAGCCTAGGGAGCTTTTCAAGTGCATGGTATCATGGACTTCCCATCAGTTGGTTAAATGGGAGATTATGACGAGTGAAGATGGCAAACCATTAGATGGTGTTACATTAATTTACAATTTTACATGGAAATGGTGTTATGATTGGTTATTATTAGGGTATTTTATGTGTCATACAGTGATATTTTATTTGGCACCAGAGCATGAATGACGACAATTAATTATATTATGAAAGGGCTAGACGGATTGTAGTAAAGTAGGCGGGGGACCTGTAGTGTAGCAATTCTGGCTATATGACATTATTTGGTGGTGCCTAGAAGATCTGGTTAGACTGTTGGGAAGCTTATTTGTCCCAAAGACTTTGTATCAACTTTAATAGGCATGTATCGTGGGGTCTAAATCTTAAAAACCTCTTTTTAAAGAAGAAGAAGAAGAAGGAAATAATGTGATAGGCAAGGATTAAATGTGATATCAGATAAGGTCTGGCAAGTTTGTTTTGAATTCCTGTGGCGGAATTGGTTTATTAGTTAGAATACAAGAACTGGGTAGTGTTTTCTTGTGTGTGTAATTTGAGCAGCCTTGCTAACATTAGTATATTCTTAACAACTTGAGGTTTCTTTTGAAATTTACTGGGAAGGATGAAGAGATCAATCTCTTGGGTGATGGGACTGAAAAAGCTGAGTTCGGAAGCTGGTCGTGGATTTCACCCCAAGAAATAGTGGACCGGGTCTGTCTCATTTTTAAAGCAGAAAAGCATTGAGAAAATTTGTTTGTTGAATTGTTGTTTTTCTGTTCATTGCAACTGAAATTGGAATGCCATCCATTCATTGCTTTGCAGGCAGTTGATTTCAAGAAACCTGTGTACGAGCAAGTTTTGAAGTTTTTCTCTTCATATCTTGTATAGATCAGATCACATCAGGTCGATATACGCCATATATCTCTGGTTCTGGTTGATGCCTAATGGGAATAAGCATAAGGTACAACAATCAATAATAAGTTGAGTTAAACTTGCAGTTTATGGTGAGTGATTGTATAACGTAAAATATAGTAATTGGCAAGCCCCCATTTCCAAGCAGCAGCAGGGAAAATGGGAGTTGCCTCCTCCCTCCTGGGCTTGGCCTGCTTTGTAGCATCATGATGCAATACATACATACATACATAAATATATGCATGGGCTGGACGTGATCCCAGCTATAGTTAGTAGTTAGTATGATTATACTTCACCACTTGGATGGGATGGGTCATAGATAGATAGATAGCAGTAGCATTTATTCACTGGTAGAAGAAGACGGGAGGAACAGGGCACTGTTAACTTGTTAATCTACTACTCCATTTTTTTTTATATATCGAGAGGTATGGCAGCCATCCAACCAATTAAGCTAATCTAGGTATGGCAGCCATCCAACCAAAACTACTACCTATTAAGCTAATCTATAAAAATAATAATAATAATAAGACAACTATGTTGGTTTTGAAATTCAGTATAATTTATTATTTTTTTTTTTTACTTTAAAAATTGTAAGTCGTTTTTTTATATTTTAAAAAATATTAGCAGGAAACTTCTATCAAGTAAAATTACTTTATCATTACACACTCAAATTTTAAGGTATAGATAAGTTTATGCTGAATTTGGAATAGAATAATACAGGAGAATAATAGCTACGTCCGCCTCCACCTTTGACCTTTGACCCATTTATATTCATTGTTGTCATTATATTATCGTTAGTATTATTATATTAAAAGCTGGCGGCCGCCCGCGCTGCTTGAATGCTGTATCATTAACATTATTGAGGTTTTATTTCAACAATTTTCATGAAACGTGATTATTATATATGCACATACTTATGCTACAGTGTTTTTTCAAACAAAATTTTAGAAAACTAATTCCCATTGTCAAGGCATCATTACTTATTCCCCTGGTTGTGTAAGTGGAAGTTAACTCGTAGAAGATAATGTTTGGAAGTTAGATTTTCCGTAACTTCTAGAAATGAACGCACACACTCACGTATCCTTGCAGCCGTTATGGAAATGGAATGCAATGGAACGATTCCTTGGACGGTAAGAAAGACGGGCCAAGGTGATCGAGCTTGGGCAAAACACATTTTTCCGTTTGATACTTGGCCGTAAATACAAATTTAATTATGCAAAATTTTATAAAAATAAAAGAAGTAAGTCTATTAAATATTTTTGTTTTTGTTTTTATTGTTATCTTTATATAAAAACTATAAAAATAAGTAAATGATTATTTATTTATTTATTTTATTAAAAAAATTATTTAAATTTGTATAAAATTGTTTAGGTTCATATTTATAATTAAATATCATTTTAAAACCAATATAGTATTTTGTACAAACTTTAAATTGAGATAAATTTCACACTATAAATAAAATAAAAGATGTTTTACATCTCATACGTAAGACCCACTCAAAATCCTTTTATTTCTATCTCTCTCGTCAATTAACAGATATTTTTATCTACCTTTAAAACTCCTCATTTTTTTTTATAAAATTAATTTATGATAATAATAAATAAATAAATATATTTTTTTATTCATTTGTATTATACTCCCTCCGTTCCAATACAATAGTCTTGTTTATCATTTTTATCCATTCTAAAACAATAGTCTCATTTTCATAAATAATCATATCACCATAAAACTATCTCTACTTTTTTATTATTATTACACAATTGCCATTATTTTTTATACTAATATACTCACAAGGGCAAAAAAGTTATTTATCATTATTTTTTACCAACTATTAATATAATATTAATATTTCTTAAATATCGTGTCAAAACACAATAAAACTATACTTTTAGGACGGAGGGAGTATAAAATTTTATTATTTATAAAATAATATACATATTGTATATATTTTATTGAAATATAATTTAAAAATATTTAAAATACCAACAACATTACGTGTGTGTATATATATATAAAAAGTAATAAAATATTATTTTAATTTATTATTAATAATTTAATAAGTTACACTATCTAAAATACGATGTTCCTAACAAAATGATCATACGATGTTCCTAACAAAATGGATCATTTTGGAGGAACGAAGTGAATATAATTTATTCTAATTTTTAATTATTTATTGATCTTTTAAATATTATTATACCCATCCAGCATTTACATTCGAATCAAATCACTCTGTATCACACTCAATCTTTAAAAATAAAAGAAAAAAGAAAGAAATTGTCGGCTGACTCATTATAATTGAGCAGCTGCATCGATGGTTCTCCTCTGCACAGCGATTTCCACATCAGCTTTTATTTAATAAAAAACAAAGAAAAATTCGAAATTGCTTTTGAGATGATATGCACCTCAATTTAGGAGCAACTTTTTTATAATTAAATACTATCGTATATGATATAATAATTTTATTTATAATTTTTGTTCATATTAAATAATAATTTTATTTTAATAACTATTTATATTATTTTTATTTTTTTATTATAAAAATAAAAACGTTTTTTTTTTTTTTTTAAATTTTATATTTTTCATTAATTATTAATATAATATTAATATTTTAAATAAAATTAAAATTTCTAAATGGGGAAAGTATTATTTAGAGTAAAAATCATTTTTTGTTCCATTCAATATCATAATTATCAATTTTAGTCTCATTCAAAAAAAATTATCAATTTTGGTCTAATTCAAATGAAAATTTATCAATTTTAGTCCCAAAATAGGTTGACTGGGATTGAACACGGCCGTGTTGAATGACTCAGAAGGTGACTCGGCGTCCAAAGCAGCCAACACAGCCCTGTTGATTACCCTGCACTTCCCGTGTTCCTGGCCGTGTTCTGAACACAGCCATGTTCCTCTCCGTGTTTCTACCCATGTTCTCAACAGCCATGTTCCTGTCCATGTTCTCAACACAGCCATGTTTTAAGCCATGTTCACGACTATGTTTTCAATATATTCATATTGTAGGTCATATTTATTATTATTTTCACTTTTTTGTTAGGGTGTGTTTGTTTGGAGGTTTGGATTTTGAGTTGGGATTTGAATAGTAAAAATTTTGAATTTGAATAGTTGTATGATGTGATATAAATAGGGTTTGATGTGAATGTAAAATTGATTTTTAATATAATATAAAAAATGAAAAATAGGTGTTTGATTTGATGTTTTTGGGGGGAAAAAATTGGATGAATAGTGGAAATCCACCAAAATCCTTCAAACAAACACACCCTTAAAATTATTTGCTATAAATATATACATTTATAATTCAACAAAAATATTTTTTACAATTATTTCATAATATAAAAATAATCAATTTTTAATATTTTAAAAATATATAGAAACAATAATATATTAACATATATTTTTAATCCCACTTACTATGTCCATATTGCAATTTCTGTCTGTCACACATTCTATACACTTTCTTTTTAAATAATTACACACTATTTTTTAATTTATTTTTTTTAAATTTTAATTTGTTATCTTAATCTTAATTTATAATTATTTATATTATATGATAATTATTTTCACTAATATATTTTTAATTATCTACTAATTATATTTATCATAAATTTTCGTGTTATAGTGACCCAAACATCCAATGTGAGATGGAGGAAGTTTATTTTAAAATATTATTTTGAATAATAAATTTAATTTATAATTTATAAAAATAATTATTTTAAAATAATATTTTAAATTTTTTACTATAAATTTTTAAAAATATATATAATGTAAAAATATATATTAATATATTATTATTTTTATATATTTTTAAAATATTAAAAATTGATTATTTTTTATATTATGAAATAATTATAAAAAAATATTTTTGTTGAATTATAAATATATATATTTATATCAAATAATTTTAATCAAAAAGTGAAAATAATAAAAAAATATGACATATAATATAATTATATTGAAAATATGGTCGTGAACATAGCTTAGAACATTACACTGTTAAGAACATGGACAGAAACACGGGCAGGAACATGGCTGTGTTCAGAATACGGCCAGGAACACGGCCGTGTTCGTAATCAACACGGCCATCAAAATTAATAATTTTTTTTAATATGACCAAAATTGATAATTGTGATATTGAATTGGACAAAAAATGATTTTTGCTCTATTATTTATTTAGTTAACTATTTTTGCTCTATTATTTATTTAGTTAACTATTCTCAATGAACCATGTATAATAAGTGCCATACGACATTGAATTTGAACTCATACCGTGACGCTTGTACGTTCATACAAATCATATCTTGTCTCTACATCACAGAGGAAATAAAGAGAAACTTTTGAAGAGGTTGTGTTTACCAATTTCATTACCCACCCGACCCGACCTGCAGGCCGCAACTAGTCGTGCCGTGCGTTTGTTTTATAGTCTATACTATATCCCCTCCCTCTTCTATAGTCTCGTGCTGCTGCCGTCGCCTGGGTTCTGGAAGAAGGAGACAGCAAGGAGTTAACCATCGCGCTATCCCATACCCGCTTGCTTGCATTTCACTCAATTCATTATATATATCAATCAGAAGATCTACATTCCTCAAGCATATATTGGCTTGCCTGAAAGTTGCGGGCTTTTCATATCGTACTTAGTTTTCTCTGCCGCTTTTTCATCTTTTCCCTTCCCTATTTCACTTCCTTCGTAATCTCTTCTCCCAAATCTGTCGGGGCCGGGTTCTTGGCCATGGAGTCACAAGGGTTGATCGCCGGAAAGAAGAGGGTGGTGGTGGTTGGCGGCGGCATCGCCGGCTCACTCCTGGCCCGAAACCTTCAAGACCACGCCGACGTCTGTCTCATTGATGAGTGAGTCGCCGTTTCTCTCCCTCTCTATTATTATTATTATTATTATTATTATTATATTTTTGCTTTCTTGTTCTATATATCTCCTTGCGTGGCTGGGTGACTTGAGTCTGTCAGAAAGGCTAGTGTGGTGCCTTGATATCGTTTGTAGGTAGACGCACAGAGTAAACTGTACAAGCAGGCAGACAATGGAACAGAATCTCATGGCTGCTCATCATTCCAACAGTTTGTCTGTTGCGATATTTAGTGGCAAAGAGCCTGCTCATTCCTCCTCCATGGATGGATTTAGAATAACTAACTAGGCATGAAGAAGAGTTGCTCTATCTTAATTTTTTTACCATTCGGTTCTCTCCTCTGTTTGCTGCAACCAAAAACTGTTCTGCTTCCGATAAAAAGAAAACTGTTCTGCTAGTGAGAGAGTGCATTTCATCCATCATAGACTAAGCTACTAAGGCTCTGGGGGGTTCTCAGGACCCATTTTGTTTAATGCATCGAAGCATCTTTAGAGTTGCAATTGTGCATATATCTCATCTCTTTCGCTTATCTCATTTTCATCGGTTGGGCTCTCTTGTATTATGGTTTTTTCTTGCTTATCGAAATGGATTGCAGAAAGGAATATTTTGAGATCAGTTGGGCGAACTTGAGATCAAAAGTTGAGCCATCATTCGCACAAAGAGCTGTCATCAAGCATGAGGAGTACCTGCCTAATGCTCGTATCATTGCATCAGCTGCAACTGACATCACTGCAAAGGAAGTTTTGACGGCACAAGGCCATCAAATTTCATATGATTATCTTGTCGTTGCTACTGGTCATGTGAATGCCGGTGCAGACACAAAAGATGAGAGGCTTAGACAGTTTCAAGCAGGTGACAAACTTGTACATGCGTAGGTAGCACTTGATTGATATTAATGTTGCTCATGCCTTATGTTTGATCACACGTTTTACATTCATGCTACATGCACTAGTTTAATGGCATGCTGTACTTGGACTTCCCAGAGTCGAATCTTTATGGTTTGTTTTTCTGGTTGCAGATTATGAGGAGATAAAATCTGCGAATTCAATTTTGATTGTAGGAGGGGGGCCAACCGGCGTGGAGCTAGCAGCAGAGATTGCTGTTGACTTCCCAACCAAGAAGGTAGTGCTGGTACATCGGGGGCCGAGGTTACTGGAATTCGTTAATGAAAAGGCTGGGAAGAAAGCGCTGGATTGGTTGAGCTCGAAGAACGTGGAAGTGATCTTGAATCAGTCGGTGAAGTTGACCTCTGAAGCAAATGCAAATGGTGGTGGTGCTTATGAGACATCTGGTGGAGAGACCATCATGGCCGATTGCCATTTCCTCTGCACCGGCATACCGATGGGGTCATCGTGGTTAAGGGGAACTGTGTTGAAGGACAGCTTGGATGCTCATGGAAGGATAATGGTGGATAAGACACTAAGGGTGAAGGGGTACAGTAACATATTTGCCATCGGGGATATCACAGACATTCCGGAGCTGAAACAGGGGTATTTGGCGGAGTCGCATGCCCAAGTGGCTGCCAAGAATCTGAAGGCGTTGATGAGGGGTGAGACTGAGAGCAAGCTGGCGACATACAAGCGGGCGTCGGCAGCAATGGCATTGGTGTCGCTGGGGAGGAGAGAAGGATTGCTGCACGTGATGTGCATAACCACATTGGGCCGCGTCCCTGGCATGATAAAGTCAGGGGACTTGTTTGTGAGCAAGACGAGGAAGGGGCGCGGCCTCAAGGCCAAGTGAAAAGATAGAACCAAGCAAGCTTCTCAGTCCAACTTCCCCTCCCTCGAGTTTCAGTCTTAATAATCCAACCCATTGTTGTTTGCCTTCGTTGATTTGATTTGTCTCTGATGGGATAACACGTGCCTGCGTATTTTATACTAAAATTTCTGACTTGGCAGCGCCCCCAAACGTAGATCATTGTGATCGAACTGGGTTACCATATTCTTGTGTTCATTTGTCTTTGTTGTCTCATCTTGATTTCCTGGAAATTTCCGTAACAAGTGGTATCAGAGCCTAGTTCGTTGATAGGGTGGATTGAGAGGAATCGGGCGTTGGATCGTTGTGGGAATCCCTTGTGACCTGCGGAGGTGCCTTGTGTCGAAAGTCTCCTGGCGGTGTTGGGTCGGTCCCGACTGGTAGGTCAGGCAGCGAGTCCCTTTGTGATAGGCGGTGCAAGGTTGGTAGGGAAGGATAAGGGTTTCGGCAAACGCAGCGGAATATCCGATGTGCTCTCATATCAAGTGAACCTTAGGTTTGTTTGTGGGAGTCAAGATGGGTGATCGTCATGTTGTCAAGGTATTCGATGGTATGAACTTCGATTTCTGAAATATGCAGATAGAAGATTACATGTATGGTAAAGATCTAGATGCGGTATTGAAGGAGAAATTCGAAGACATGGATGAAGCCGAATACAAGAAGATCGACAGGAAGACGATGAGTGCGGTTCGACTAACTCTTTGGGAGAATGTCTCAATTTAGATTTGAGGCAAAAGGAAAGGGTGAAGATCAAGAATGGTCAAAGTTGAAGCCGAAGAATAAGGACAAGGAAGATGCAAGTCAGGTGGTATATTGGAACTGCAAGGGGCACTTGAAACGACAGTGCAGGGCGCCGGAGAAGGATCAGGGTTCAGCAAAAGCAACGGAGGAGATATCCGATGCGCTGATTCTGAGCGTCAGCAGTCCAATGGAGTTATGGATTTTGGTCGAGCGTCATTCCACTCATGCAGTGATTCGAGAATCATGAAATCCTATACCACATGTAATTTTGGTGTTGTCTATTTTGGAGATGATGAGACACTGAAATTTGTAGGTAATGGAATGATTCGAATCAGAACATCGAATGGTGGGGAGTGGAGATTGGACGAGATATGTTGAAGTGAAAGTTTCAAGTGGGAGATTGTTGGGATATGAAGCTTGATTATGTCCTAAAATCTAGGGATATGATTTGGATATTATATTTTAGATTTTAGAGATATAATTTGGATATTATTGTCAAAGGCTTAGGCTATAAATATCCATGTATTCTCACTTTAACATGTGACTGCGTACTTTATATTAAAATTCCTGGCTTGGCAGCGCCCCCAGACGTAGATCATTGTGATCGGGTTACCAAATGTTGTGTTCTTTTGTCTTTATTATCTCATCCTGATTTCCTGGGATCTCCGTAACCGTCTCTTTCCTTCCCCAACTTCGGACATGCATACGATGGATGGAGGGAAATCCTCGTTCATTGATGTGTGTGTATATATATATATATATGTACAAGCAAGCACTTGAATTGATTTTTGCTGTGTTAATAACAGAAATAAATACGCATATATATGTGTATATGTATAGTAAGTAATTATTTGCTCACTAATAATGGATGATGTCATGATATACATGGAGGTTTGATGAAGCCGACCGGCGAGGCCAGGGACTCGCGGGGCCGGCAAATTGTGCAATTCTCCTTCTTCTTCCTTCCTTCTTTCCTAACTTTCCATCAACAGATCTCTAATTTCCTCTGCTGCTGCTGGTGCTGCTGGCATATATAACAACTTCCAATTAACACGAGACGAGTCACTGTCGTTCCGAGTCAGTTCTGGATCCGACCGATTAGACAGACACACGCTCCTCCTCCTCGGGGCTGTACGCACACTGACTCCGCATGACACAGGAGCGGGGTACCAAGAAGTAAGAACATTGGGAAACTTTCCTGGTCTTCCCATCTTCCACCTGCAACTTTCCTACCTTTTGAACAGAGAGCTATCAGGTACGAGTTTTAGGTCACAGTTTCGAGATCCATAATCCTCTTGCATTGCATACGCATTGGGGGCACGGCACGGCACGCTGCGGGAACAGGAAACTTGACCAGGGAGAACATGAAGAGGGTTTTCGGAGCGAAGAAGGATGAAGGGCCCCCATCTTCCGTACAGGATGCCTCCGATCGGGTTTGCATTTTCGACCCTTCCAGTTTCATATGCTTTAATAGCATAGCATAGCATTTATGCTACTGAATGCCTGTCGTGTTTTCTGAGTCCCCCAAAATCCACCCAGTTTTGTGCTTTCAGCTCTTTCTCATCTGGGCTCGTCTCATGCTCGCGTTTTTCCTTCTTGGTATCTGCTTTTGTGACTCTGATTCTAGAATTCTACGGTTTTTGTCCCTTTGCTTTCGATTCGTTTATTTAATATGGTTTCATTATGATTAGAGATTTCGCGATTTAGTGGTAGGATGACAATGGCTTGATCTGGGGTTTTATAGCTCCAGCTAGCATAACAAGTAGCAAGCAGTGTGACCAAGTAGCATATTTCATTGAAGCATTGTGCAAACTATTTGATCAAGCTACTATTATTTACTTCTCTTGTAGTATTATTTTATTTTATTTTATATGTGCATTGACATGGAATTTTCTGCGCACTACAATCACTTCTCATATACCAAAAACCACAACACACTTACATGCTACACAGACACTTCTTTTCGAGTAAACTGCTTTCAATATCCTATGAACATTCCCGTGCTCCCATGCAATAAGCCTACCTAGGAGTGTTCACTTTGACATGGGGACCGAGAATGGTATCTTGTGTTTAGAAACTCCACCACCATATGCGGATTTGAACTTTAGGGATATTGAGAAAATGGTTGCTGTTATGGGTTTTCTATTTCCTCTTGTATTCTGGTTCTTATATATGGACTTTATATGGTTGTTCATGTCAGATCAATAAAAGAGGTGAAAATGTTGATGAAAAAATAAGAAGACTTGATGTGCAGCTTGCTAGATATAAAGAGCAGTTCAAAAAGATGAGACCAGGTCCGGCTCAAGAAGCTGTCAAAGCTAGAGCCATGAGGGTTCTTAAGCAAAAGAGAATGTAAGCTATCTAATTGTATTAATAGATATTCCTAACTACCCAGTTTTTAAGCTCACTAGTAGAAATTTCCTGCTTGTTGACATGCACATTTGTTTTGCTGGGATGAGATTTAATTGATGGATTATGGTTAACCATCAGTTTCAATCGTTGGCTTTATTCATCAGCATATCCTAATTCTTTTGATTCTTCTAACCGCTTAGCATTTAGTTTAATATAGTGCATATTAGTTATTAATGGGGAACTATCGTACTTCCTGGACAATGCCAATCAGGTCATGCGATTTAGTATGAAGTCTTGCGATATTTTTGCATCTTCTTGAATAAATTTTAAGTTGGCTCCTTGTATTAAGATTATTCATATGATTCCTTACATATCGTTAACAGGCATCGTGGGTGTGCATATGAATTTAAATCTAAGGATGCAATTAGATTCAAACCATATTTTTATTGCTCAACAAATGCACATTTAAATACATTCACCTACTTTTGTTTGTACATGTTCATTAATGTAGGTATGAAAGTCAGCGGGATATGCTGTATAATCAGACGTTCAGCCTGGATCAAGTTGCATTTGCTGCTGAGGGACACAATGATTCCCAAGAGACAGTATGTTTTATGAGCACATACATGCATTCTAATCCTGTATATTTAGGCTTTCCTGCATTAGTGCAATTTTTATAAGTTGATTTTTGGCTTGAAATTGTAGAGAAGCATCTTGAACAGCTTTCCTGCATTGTGTTGTTCACATGTATTGTAATGTTGTATTATTATCAGCCTCTTGAGAAGGTTATTACTTGTTGAAGGATGTTGCTGCATGGAACATTTATTGAGATGACAGCTGATGCATATTGTTTTTTCATGTTTACTAGAATTTTGGACTGGTAATTTGACTTTTGACTCAGCCTTTTCTAATTTGAATTGCATTTAGATTCTTGTTAACCTGCTTTGTAAACTTTTTATCAAATTTCCTAGAGAAATTCATGGGCCTCAAAAAATTAACTCAAGGATTTGTTTTCCTTTCTTTCTTTTATGGTAGCACCGCACAGGGCACATTTCAAGATTTTGCTGCTTATGTCTGTAGAGGTAGGACATCCATCTCATTCCTATTGAAGAAACAGAAGTGTGTTTTCATGTTTTGTGTTACTATGTTACCAATAGTGTCTCTGGACTTATGCTTACCAATCCACATTTTTGTATGCACTTAGTTTGAACAATTGGAAACTCTGATGCTGCTTCTGGCACAAATTCTTAATGCTGCCTTATACCTTCTAGGCGTCAACCTTGAAGTCAACAAAGGAGCTTAAAGGAATGATGAAGTCAAAAAATGCAAGACAAAGATGTTTTATTTCACCGCAGATTTGTCTTTTGTTCTAACAGAGTAAATTTTGCATTCTCATGATATATTAACCGATAGATTTAACTGTTTTAGAACTTAGAAGACAAGATGATGGACCTCATGGATGAGTAATGAGATCCAGGTGTCTCTTGGCAGAAGCTATAATGCACCTGATGACATTGGTTAGGATGAACTGTGGGTGGTAAGACATGTTCTTAACTCTCAATATGTATATTTTAAGAGAGTGCAGCTTGAAATCCTATTTCGCTAGCGTATCTTTTATTTTTGAAAATCTTATGAAGTACATCACAATCCTTAGATTTTACAGGAATGTTGAAGCTTGTATGTATGTCCCATAAAAGACAGCAATCATCTAGTAACAGCATAGTTTTGTTTGAGCTGTGACCAAGCTAGGGTTGTTTTTTCTGTATAATTGTTAATGCTGAATGGTGGATAACCATCCTGTGATTCTTTAATGTTCTGCATACGAGTGTGTGTGCGCGCGCATCTGTTGATTGATATTTTGGCATTTTTTACTTGTGGGATTTTATCTCCAGTTTACTGTTTCAATTTTATTTTTTTCCAGAAATATCCAATCAATCACTTATATTTTATTTATTTTATTATACTAAAATTTAATTTTACATTCAAAATATCACGTCAATACATGTTTATATCATATCAAATACTATTTCAATTCAAAATTTTACTATTTAAAATAAAAACAAAAAACTATAATCTTACAAGTAAATGTGGTTATGTTATTCAAAGCTTGATACTCTGAAGGGGATATGGGGTTTGAAATTGAGGTGAGGGAGTTCCTTCCTATGCAGTCCAACAAGGAACTAGATTTCACAATTGAACCTGTCATCTTCACCTCTATGGCATGCTCCAAATCTACAAGGCAGAGTGAACGCCCCTGTAATATACATATAATATATATAATATGTCTAATAATTTTGAGATCCTACTTTTTATATTTTTATCATAGGATAGAATACATTCTAGCTGTGATTTATCGACCATCATGTAGGAAAAATTGGGGCTGCCAGCTTTTCATTGCAACACTGCAAATTTATTATCAATACTTTTATAGAATGCCCAATGCCCTCCCCTCCCCTCGCTTCTGATGTGGTTACGCATAGAAGAATGAAAGATGAATGAATTTTTGTGCTCCTTGAGTAAAAGTTGAAACATCCTATTTAAGAAAATACTTGAGAAACAATAAAGTCCACAACAACCATTGTTTCTTTAGAGTATAATTAGAAGTACAAGGAACTTTGAGCAGCAACTTAGGGAGGGGAGACCAAAATTTGTCATTCAGTTATCCTATTGCAATCAGTGCTGTTTAATCATACTACTGCAGTTGCCATTAACTGGTAGAACAAATAAGTAGTAACTGGTGAACAAGGAGCAGCTGCACATTGTATTTTCGGAAACAGGAAAAATGATTGGGATCAGCTTGACTGGTGGTCAGTTTGGATAAGTTCCCTCATGTCTAATGCTTCCCACACGTTGTTTGAATGGTGGCCGGGTAAGCAGCAGAGTGTGGCCTGAAGTGGACCTTGTTGGATGAAATAGCTAAGTAGGTTTTCAACTTCTTTTCTTCTTTCTTTAGAGAAAGCCACTCACCTGAACAAAAGAGAGACATATTGATCAGGAACAATGCATGGCGAAGCAATTATGGTGATTTGCAGTAAATTCTTAAGATGTTAGAATCCTATTCTAGAAATCCTTCAAAACGAATGCAAATGAAGATCATATTGGTTCCAACACTTTGCAATAAGTCATGCAGCAAAACTATCCCCACAACCCAATCTAAGAAAACAAAAAACAATGCTTTGCTCATTAACCCACAAAGCAGAATTAAATGATACTGAGGTGAGTATTTTTAATAAAAAATTGCATGATAGATAAAAATTGAAAATACCTAGCAACAATTGTACGCGATTTACTCAGTATTTAACTAGCACAACTTTCGTGTATTGTTCGTAACTCTGGCCCGTCACAAATTAACATAGTTCTTTTGAGGACTTCTTGATGGTCCTTTCGAGAAACTTATCAATAGGTTACTCATTTTGAAGTTGAAATTAAAATTAGACTTTTAAAATTCTTTCATGAGCTCCCAAAAAAGAATGCTTACAATATTGATAAACTAAGTTAGACACAATAAACCAAGATCATGGCATGAGTAGTCTGCTAATGAAATAAACCTGAATTGCTCATATAAAATTATATAATTAATTATTCAAGCAGTGCAATAGTAGCATTCCCTGAAAACAAATAATGTGGGGAATGAATCTTGTAATATCTGATTTAAATGGATATAACTATAGAGAAACAGTAGAATCATCCTTATCGTCCACCATGAATTTCTCTTGCTGCATTATTCTCAATTGTTGCTTTAGTTTGTCGTTCTCCATTAACAAAGCGTTATGTTGCTGAATTTGGGATGCAATTCTAATAGTCAATTCTGACCCAAGATTCTGAATTATGAACAACTAAAAACATTCACTTCACCCAAAAATACAAGATAGATTGCAGAGAACAGATGCATTTATTTATCCTTCTATCTAAACTTGCACCTGAAGAAGATCGACGCTTCTTTCCAGTTCTGCAACGCACTGGAGTTTTCGAGCTCGAGACCTTTTCCCTGGGTGACTCTGTTAAATTGATTGCAAACCTCTTAAGAATGCATTGATAAATTAAGTGTACTATAGTAGTTTTGCTTTATTAATCGAACAAGAATAACGAAATATTGCAATTTGAATGTCTAACAGGATAGAGAAGTGTTGTGTAAGTCTGATTTGTTTCTACAAAATGTACAATCCTATTTAAATCGAAGAAAATAAAAGACAATATGGATAAAACAGACAACAAACAAACTCTTTTAGACAATTCACTAGAAAAGAGAAAACAAGGTATGCGCATCGATCCACACATAAATATAATGATGGTGTTGACATCCCCCGTAACCACTCTAGATGTGATCTTGGGCATTGCTTTTGCACTTCAAGCTGGCAGAATACAGAAAATCAAGGCCTGCTTCAGAAACAATATATTATTCTCTTTGCACCTAAGCTCTAAATTCTAATAGAAATCACATTCAATTTTCATATTTTCTAGCGCTCTCTTTACTTTGATTTTCTTTTTATGCAACATCACAGTTGCCTATAAAACCGTCCATTTTTCATACAAAACATTACACCCAACAACTATTTCACTCAAAAACCAAAACACAAACACAAAAACAAAGACTACGGAGATGAACCCTAAGTCATTCAATTTTTCAAGGAGCTTAATTTGGTTTTCTACCAGAAAATGACTTGCATACAGAATATCAACTTTAACGCACTTCTGATTAGCTATTATGGGCATAACCCCAAATACAATACTAGTAGAGTATCCATTGAACTTGTGATGATGTGGGAAATTAGACAGGAATAACATCGAGGAACTTTGTGTGCTCAACCAAGAAAATCAGGCTAGTTAAGATAATCTGACCTGGTAAGTGACGTATCAAATAGGATACATAACATTTTGAGGAAGCTAAATTGCCAAATGGCACAATCTGATCTTACTAAAAGCAAAACACATATAGTTTAGTAATATATTCGAGTGACAAGGGGGCAACATATACAGAAATCCTTAAATAATATTTCCAATCTTATTATAAAACAGCGAATGTATTGACTTCTGTATTAGTTATAGGTGAAACAGATTTGTGGTGTAATAAGAGTTCCTTGCAGCTTCAGCATCTTTATTTTATCAAACCACCACATGTTAATTGACAACTCAGTTATGCTATATTAGAAATGGTTGACATGTACATAGTATAAACTTAATTACATCGTTAAATTTCATTATAAGAAAATCCATGCTGAAAAAGAAACTAACCATCCCATTGGCTTGCTTCCAGTATTAATCTCACCTGCCAAGGCACAAGTACCACCAAGTGAACTAGAATAAGGGACTGAATGAGCAGGAATATCATATCCATCTAAATGTTGCAGAGGGTTCTGCAAGGCATACTCGGAAATTGCTGAAACAATTTCTTTTTCATGAGAGTCTAACACATTTTTGCATCGGGGGGAATTGGGACCATAACCACAACTAGAACCCAACCCATCATCATGTACGCAAAACTCTGTAACTTCTACTCCATAATGTTGATCCAGATCTCGAAATGTTGATTGACTGGAAAAAAGGGCCAAACAATCACTAGCAGCACGACGATGCAATGAGACCTTGTAATTTGAGTCTGATTCACTGAATAAATCATCAAGCCACTCTGGGTGGTTGTCTGATAAAGAGCCATTGAAGATGGGTTTTTGATGTCCACATATCCCTTTATGGAATTCACTATCCATGAATGAAGGTCCAGAAACAGGGGTTTCCGCTTGGTAGAGTGAAAATTTCTTTTGGACTGGACATCGGGGAGGGAGTTCAGCCTGCCTTGACATATGGAAGTTTGTTACCTGCAGAACATCAGGGTTCATGTTCCATGTCAGCTTACTTAGTCTCTAACCTTGAGAAATTATCATTAAATAGAAAGGACTAACAATTGGCTTAATAGTTAAGACAAAACGCAGCCTTGCTCTTCTTCCTTGTTTTCTATTACAATTAAGAAAACATCTGATCAAAACTCCGGGCACTCATTCATACCTTCGAATAAATCAATTAAGGACGGGATAAACAATGCAGTGATTCATTACAATCAACATCATATATAGGGGCCTCATCTCAAAGTATCAAGAGAGATATGCTCTAGTATCGACGGAACAGAATAGTCAATTCTTATTAAACATCCTCAATGAAAGAACAAATAATGCTGAAACCAAAGCTCCTCTATAGTGCTCATGTTTGTAATGTAAACGTATCCGCCTCGCTCGCTCATTGCAGCTGCTCCAGAAGGCAAGCGGTGTTTGTCTGTCAACCTTCTTAATCTTGCCAAGCAAGAATTTTTAACCTGCAGTGAGGTTCTTGTTGTTCTCTTCTTGGTTCTTTTTTTTTTTTTGGTTATTGATTCCGTAGTTCTGTGACATTGTTACATTTTCCTTTCAATTGCTGGTTTTCTCGCGGCTCGCGACATGCATTCTGGTTTTTGTTTGGTGTGAGACTTGTAAGCTTGAATGTCCATTGTCACAAGTCATAAAGTCTGGGGTGTTTCCGTCGATTATGTAGAACGGACGAAAATAGAAAATAGAGACAAATTATGTGGGACGGAGGAAATACATTTTTTAACAGAATCAAAGAATATTCTATAAATATTCTTTTTTATTTATTATTTTATATAAATTTTTAAATTTACGAAATCAATTAATATTTTAAATATTGTTTATTATTATTTGATCATAGAATATAATTAAAATTATATTTTATTATTTATTATTTATAATATTATTAAATATGTATTATAATAATTAAAATTTAATAATTAGTTAAAAAATATATATTAAATAAATAAAAATACATGTTGGTTTACATTCTTACCATAATCAATCAAAACAAAGAAAAAAAAATCAAAATTAATAGTTACTTTACATTCTATATACTAAAATACAGTATACAAGGTTTAAATCATTTTCAAAATTTAAAAGGCCGTAACAATAAATATATGAATAAAGAAAGGCCAACTAGCCGTTAAACCTCTTGTCACTATCTCATTTGTTTCTTTCCATCTCTTTTGCTTCCATTGTTTTTCCATCTGTCTTCTTGATAACAGTATTTCAAAACCCCTCTTTCGTGTGTGCGCAGGAGATGATGGGAATGAAAGGAAAGCTGCTAAAGAAACTCAAGACAATTGGGTACTTGACTTACCATCAACAGCAGCCCGAAAGAATTCTTCAGGTCAGCGACACTCATATCTACCCTTCCCCTCAAAAAATGACCCCTAATTTTCCTTCTCCATTGCCGTTGCCATTGGTGGTCGAGCCGGAACCTAAGCATGAATCCCGTGCCAAGTTAAACAACTACCCTCTCCCAGCCCCACTAGTGCAAGAGCCAGAGATCATCGATGTGTCAGAGCTGATGAAAGACCTGGACGACCAGGACATGGATTTTGACGACGAGATGGATGAAAAAGAGAATCGCAGGCTCCACAGAAAACTCGATGCTGCTGCTGAATCTGAAGGTTCTAGATCAGAAAATTCAGATGAGAATGAGATGAGACGACCCCTCAAGGCCAAATTAAACGGGAGGGAGAGGGAGAGGGAATTTGCTCTGTCGGACACGGACGCATCCGCATCGTCCTTCAGGCAACCCGATTTGAACTCTAGAACCCTTTTTGATCCCAAACTTCTTGCAGCATTTGAACAGGCAATCACGGAAGCCAAGGCGAGGGAAGCAGAAAGAAGATCAAGAATAATTGAGGTGCCCAGTTTGTGGGCGGACGACGACGTTGTTGAGGAGCGGGTGCGGGAGCCCCCCCTAAAAGCCCGAAAAGTCAAGCTAAGCAAGAATGATGATGATAATGATAGCAGCAGTCGCAGTAGCGGTAGCTGTAGTGTCAATCCACTGCTGGAATTCGAAGACAAGTGTCCGCCAGGGGGCAGTGACGCCATTGTATTCTATACAACCGGGCTCCGAGCGGTGCGGAAGACATTTGAGGACTGCCAAAAGATGAGGTCCCTGTTGGAGAATCTGAGGGTGTTGTTCTTCGAGAGGGACATATCGATGCATTCGCGGTTTAAGGAGGAGTTGTGGGAGATTCTTGGGGGGAAGACGCTGCTGCCTCCGAGGCTGTTCATCAAGGGGAGGTACATTGGTGGAGTGGATGAGGTCCTGGCCCTCCACGAGCAAGGAAAGCTCAAGCCACTCACTCAAGGGATTCCCCTACACCATCACCACGGTGATGGCCCCCCCTGCCAGGGGTGTGCTGGGTTCAGGTTCATTGTGTGTTTCAACTGCAATGGCAGCCGGAAAATTGTGCAGGAGGATAGGGAGGAGGAGGAGGAGGAAGAGCCCATGAATTGCACTGACTGTAACGAGAATGGAATGCTCGTCTGCCCCCTTTGCTGTTGATGCACAGCACTGCGAGTTTCCTTATCCCATATGATGATGCCAATAAGCTGTGTGTGTGTGTGTGTGTATTTGATGGATGGATGGGTGGATGGACGACTGTAACATCTCATTTTGTTATTTCCCAACATCACCTCTATTCCAATACTTGCCATCTCATTAACATCTATGTATCTATCTATGTATATATATCTAATTTTGCTGTTCTATTCTGGAGGATAAACTGTACTTACACTACTTAAAGCAGCACAAACAACCACCCCCCACCACAACAGGCGGAACAGAAGAGCAGCCGCAAGAATGTCTTAACAACACAGCACAGTAGCCACAAAAGGCACGCAATGGTAGCCTGGGTACTACTGGACAGCCTGACGTCTGAATGTTGATGATGCCACCAAGCTCAAAAACTAAAACCAAACGTATTGGCAGGACTAAATGATTGAGAATTAGAAGACTCGGAACCAGATAGATACAAGTGTTCGACAGTGATGATATGTAGATGTACCTTCTGAGACAGTTCCCACGCCGGACACCCCCAGAGATTCTGTGAATGCAAGTCATTCATTAGATTAGAGGTAAGAGTCTATGCATGCACATTAGCTATCTCTCCAACCAAGGGAAATGGCTGCCTGCCTTATTTATTGTGGTATGTTATGGCATTAAAACACGGTTCTTCAACTCCTACACATTACAACTAAATCAACAACTTTATTACGCTTGAATGATCAAGATCAACAATAACAGGTTGAAATCTTCAGCTACCAACTTGCACGCATCGATATCATTTCTCAAGGGAGCCTGGGCATGGGAATAAGTTCAAATGATGAAAGTGCAGCGCAGCGCTGAGCAACACACACCCACACATACAGTGTGGTTATTAATCAAATAAAAATCTATTAGCTAGTTACAATGTCACTCATGTCATGTCATGGCATCAAGGGCCATGATGGTGCTTAGATTCATGGGGTTCATATATTCTGATGAGGCAGATATCATCTGGCCAACAATGAGCCTGTTGGCCTTTTCGGAAGGATGGAAGGGATCCCAGAACGCATAGGCTTCCCTGTTGGGGCAGAGGTTGGATAGTTGGGTGCAGAGTCCTACTCCGTTGTAAGGCCCCTGGCCGCAGCATGCTCTCTTTGATGTCACGAATCCGAATGCCCCTGGATTGCGCACGAAGTCCCTGTGCATCAGCCCCGTGTTGGCTGCAATGAACACGGCCCCTCCCCCAAGCTTGGAGTTGAGGGCCACCAGCATCTTGGTGAGCTGTGGGTCATAGAGGGACGCTGCAGTCTGCAGCTCTTCTGAGCATTCCCCGTTACTGCTCCTCATGGCGAGTTCCGCCGGCGCACAGCCGAGAGGGCCTGCTCCTGTCACCAGCACCCTTCTGGCTCCCAGCTGGTGCAGCCTCAGGAGAATGCTCTGGTACTCGGAGATGAGATAGCGGACGTAGTCTGGAAGGGCATACTGGCGGGACCTGGCTGAGAAGGGCACCAAGTAGTAGTTGTTGACGAAATCATTCCCTCCCAGGGTGATGAGGACCAGCGCTTCTCTCACCAGTCTGGTGGCCGCCTCGGCGCCAATCAGGCCGCTCACTCTTTCTTGGTACTGATGGAAGTATTCCAACTGTTGCCAGATCCTGATTATGTTCGCCTGCAATTTAATTCATTTTAAGATAAGGTAAGAGATGACACCATGCATGCATGTTTAATTACGGAGATTAAACAATCAAGCAAGTGCTAGTTTTATTTGTACACATCTCATCTCATCTCACCTCATCTCATCTATGATATTGAATGTAAGTAACACTTACAAATTGAACGCCAGTGTCGTTAAGGATCCCCACCCCTGCAGAAGCAAAGTTGGCTCCAACCAGCAGTCTCTGCCCAGTCAGGCCTGGGCTCAAGTATGGCAATGGCGATTCACTCCCACCAATGTTCTCACCTGCCGTGCCATCCCATCAACACCTAATCAAAACTCTATACACAGATATATGATCCTTACAAGAAAGATGTAAAAGATTATTTAGTTAGCAGTGTATTTGTGTGCCATTAAAATATTTTATAGTTTGTTTGCGAATGTGCAGACATACGTACATATATATATATATATATATAGATTTAACCTCACTAGGCATTTTCAAGATCAGGTAATGTTTGATAGGTGTACTAACGCTCTAGCATCCCTTTTATTTTGTGTTAGAGAAACCAAGGAAAAACTATGACAAGTCTATAGACATGCACTGGTTGAGATCAGGGGATGTCTTTAAAACTGAGTTGCATTGCCAGGTAGATATGCAGCATAAATCAATTACTGTTGGCGCTTAACTGATAATATCAGGAATGTTCAGGCCATTGGAGAAGCGTCCAGTTGCCTCATGGGTTGGATAATCAATACCATAGGGTGGTGAGTCCGCACGAGCAGTGGTAGCCAAGTAGTTATTGTTGCCACCATCAACCAAAGAATCTCCGAAAACAAAAAATGCTCTCCCCTCGGCAGTACTACAATCAAGTGACACGGTAGCTGCAAGGAAGGCCAAAAGAACAATAGCAGTACTACTGTTCTCCATTGGAGGGACAGATGGAAACACAGTATTATATTATAGCACACAGAAAGTTTGGAACTATTTAATTTTTGAGACACACACTTTAGCTTGCTAGCTACTGTAATTTGAATGTGAATGTAAAGATATGGGAAAGGAGTATGTGATCAACATGCATGTTGGAGGAGGAGCATGGCAATTGCCAATTGGGAGGGGAGGAGTTAATAGACGGTGGTGGGGGGTGGGGAGAATGCTAATAATGGGTTGAGTTGAGTTGTAAATTAGAAGGGAGAGAGGACCACAAGACAGCCAGTGCACCTGGGTGCGTGATGCCGATGGTAGTTCAACTGTATTTACAAATGTAACTTGCAATTGCTTTGCAGTTTAAGTTTAGAATGATCCACTTGGTAACCAAAGGCACGTCGCTCTTGATCCCAAGGCGCACATGCAAATGCTTGTATCCCACATCGCATCGCATCCCACCCCATCCATCTTAGTAATTCCCAGGCCGTGTTCTATTAAAGGGTCTGGGCATCTCCAACCAATCAGTTCAATTTTATTTATGGAGTTTTAACTTGTAGTTTTCCTATAGAATCATTCTATTTTTTACTATTATTTTAAATAATTTTTTATTTTTATAATTTAAAATATATTTTAAAAAAATTTAAAAAATAAAAAATAAATTTTAAAATTAAAATTTAAAATCTTAAAAATTAAAAAAATTAAAAAAATAAGAAAGCAACGCCATTTCTTTGGCGTTGCAATGTAGCAGCGCTGGATTTAGCGTATGTTGGACAACCGACGTCAAAGATGCCTTTAGAAGAGTAGACGATGAAGATGATGTGATTCAAAAATGCAATGCAATCCATATTAGTATTATATTATATCGTGTTACTAAAACCAAATATGGCCTGGCCAACTGGGAAGATGAATAAATATTGCCATCTGGATTGATGTGGAAATGGGAGGTCGTGCAGGTAAGCGTCTGTGTGTGCGCGCATGTCCCCACTGCAAAGTAGAGGGAGGAGAGGAGGCATGTGAAGAGCTAGCTAGCTAATTAAATGAAGCTTAACCTACCCAACCACTCCCACTTGAAGAAGCCGAGCGTCCTCCCCTCTCCTCAACTGACTCAGTTGTGCAGGGCTGACTGGTATGGTAGGAAAGAAGAAGAAGAAGAAGTGTATGAGACCATAATTCGTAATAACCCTAATGGATTGTCAAATAACAAGACATACATATAATCAATTGTTCTGGCCTGGGAGCAGTACGGCAGTAATCAATGGTGATCGATTATTTTCACTGGTTAACTATTCTTCTTATTTACCTCTTCAGATGTATTACAGATCGTGAAATTGATCACCTGTACCCGTCTAGCCTGTGATAGATTGAATTGGGTATTAAGCGGGCTCTGCTGCCTGTCACGGAATGGTAAGTGAATCCAGTGATCACGGGTCACAAATCAACTCGAGCACCACTTACGTTACAAAGTAAATATTTTTTACTTAAAATACTAATAAGAAAAAAAAAAAAGAAAAAAAGGCCCAATGAAAACGCACCCTAGATCTCAGTATATTGGAGATAAATGATTCACAATGCTTCCGCCACTTTTGAATGTGTATACAGCTCATTCCTTGGTGATATCTTCAGCACTTATTACTATAATTGGAATTTTAGCCATCTAAAGATTAAGAGCCGGCATAAACTGCCAAATTCCAAATAAAGCAAGCAGAGTTTCTGAAGTTATCCCAGTGGTTAATGGAAGGAATATAACATAAATAGGATGGCGCCATCTAGAACTTGTACACTAACCAAAAAATCCAAGGATAGAAGACTGAAAAGATTTCAGAGAGAGAGAGAGAGAGAGAGAGAGAATAGAATGCCGGCCTTACAACTCAAATTAACTACAATAGAATGCCAATACCAGCCCATTCGTTAGTGCACAAACTCATTGAACTTTATGACACAATCATATAGTCGTCCCCCAAGAAACTGAGCCACCTCAGGGTGCTTCACCTGAAAGAGAGGGTACAAGGAATTGATTACTGAGAAATCAATCACATTTCTGTGGAATGAGACAAGTCTCAACATTTTGAACTACCATTGCAATTTTCATGGCATCACACTTGAACTGAGCATAAAGGTTGGTCTCTATTCCCCGGCCCTGGCCCAAATTTCAAACGTCAACTGAAAATCAAGAAATTGGTAAAACAAAAACAATTGAAACTAAATTTGTACCAAGACCATAATACAATAGCTTCCTCAAATATCCATATTTTCATGACAGGGTGGCACATAACTGAAACGTGAATTGGGAGAAATAACAGCTACAAAGTCAAAGCCTTGTAGTTCAAGTGGTGAGACATCCCTCGCTTGAGGGTGGGGTCCCAGGTTCGATCCTGGATGGATGCACGTGTGTGCATGTGTTAGGTGAAATTCCCGCTGGAGGTGAGCATTCATTTTCACAGAAAAAAATGTTCCAGCTAGAACAGTCAATAAATAGTTATACCAAAAGTCCATACCCGACTAAAACTGCACTACTAATTTTCAAATAAATTTCAATTTTGAACCATGCAACACAACCTCACATAATATATGAAATTGTATAACAAGAATTACCATTCCTTCCAAAACTACAAGGTCAGCATCACTTGCTATATAGGCAAGTTCTTGTGACACTCTTGTAAGATCAATGACCTGTAAATAAGACCATGTCCTCACATACCCCTAGCATAGCACAAAACAAAACTACACGACAAAAAACAGTAAGAGATGGCACATAGTTTCTTACAGGTAAATCATTTCCAGAATTTGCAATAAAAAGATTTGAGGTTTCAACTCCCATAAGCTTCCCATTCTCATCCTTTAACTAAAAACAGAAATAATTCAAAAACATATTGGTAAAGGATAAACTAATAATAATAATAATATAAAAATCCAGAGCAGTTCCACTACCTTGGCTATAATTTCTATCAACTCAGGGTATGTTACATCATTGATAGAAGGCAAGTCATTTGCAGCCAATACAACCTGCAGAGGAGTACGAAGGTGTAAATAGCTTCAAAGTTATAGCATGCATAGGCAACCTTGCATAACCTTGATTCCAAACTGGATTGGGCTTCCAAGAAAATGCATCTATAAAACATGGAATAGGCTGAGTCCAATACATGGTGATTAGGGATGGAAATAGGCCCGCCAGGCCAGGCTTTGGCTAAACAGGCCAGGCCTATTTTGAAAAATTAAGGCATGAGCCTGGCCTTTTAGACTAATAGAAGGATTATAAAGCCTGAATCTGACCTATTTTTAAGTCTATGTAGCCTAGGAGTAGGGGTGGAAATAGGCCAGGTCAGGCCAAGCTTTGGCTAAATAGGCCTAGCCTGTTTTAAAATTTGTCCTAAGCCTATCCTGTTAGCCTGAATTTCTTTTTTTTAAAAGCTCAGCCTTTTTAAAAGTCTTGTCCGAACTTACAAGCCTATTTAAAAGGCTACATAATATTTTTATTTATTTATTTGTAAATTTAGTTAGAAATAAAAAAAAATAAAGTAAATAGAATTATTTAATATATATAAGTTAAAAAATTCTATTTTGTATAATAAATTTATAATTAAAATTATTTAATAAATATTATTATTAGATAGAAAATTATTTTTAATATATTATAATAAAAAAATATTTTTATAAAAAAATAATAATAATAAATAAGCCGACCTGTTAATTTAAAAAACTTTTTTTTTAAGCCAAATCCTATTCTATTTAAATAAAAAAGGCTTTAAAAATTTTTTTGACCTGGCCTTTTTTAGTAAATAGATCAGGCTAGGCTAGGCCTTACGTAGGCCCTTGACAGGCGGCTTGGTCTATTCCCATCCCTACTTAGGAGCCTATTTAAAAGCCTATATAATAATAATTATTATTTTTTTTTAAATTCAATATTAGTAAAAAAATAAAAATGCAATAATTATTTTATGTATTAAATCAATCTTATATTTGATTATTATCACTTAATTAATTTTTTTTAAAAAATATAAATACTTAAAAATAGAATAATTTTATATATTAAATCAAAATTATATATATAAATAGACTGGCCTGATAGGCCTAAAAAAATTTTTGTAAAGCCTAAACCAATTCTGATAGGCTGCCTCGCCTATTTCCGCCCCTAATAGTGAGTAGAGTGATATAAAACATAAAAAAATAGATTCAAACCTTGCAAAGTGACATAGATGTTGAAATTTAAAATCCAATTTCTTGGCATGTGAGAGGAATAACTTTTGGTCAAGACCAAATTGTTTCCATACAAGATGTATTATTTTGGAATGAAATAGAAACCAGACACACTATAAAAATAAAAACCGTAATTCACACATTGCGGCAGATTTCACCTGTATTTAATGAAATCTATTTATGACACTAGGATACTTGAATATGGAGAATAACTAAATAGCAGGCAGTAACACAACAGCGCTTTCTACCATCTAGAAATCCACATTTCTTACGAAGGTGTTATTGGATGGTTCTACCGTTCTAGATTGATTATTTTGAATTATGATAAGCTTAAATCAAACAAATGTGCTCAAATTTAATTCTCAAGAGCTTTCTACAGACATGAATAAAACAGTTTATTTCGACTATTAATTATTTCTTCACAGATAGACATCTCTAGTCCAATATCAGCGGCAACTATAGCAAATCACAAAAAATATAAACAATAAACTAAGGGGGAGATTTCAAACACACCTGCATGCCTTGCTGGAGTAACTCCCTTGCAAATGGCAATATACCCAATATGACATCAGCACCAGAGTTATCTACAAAGATTATGACCTGTTGTGTATACAAATTTAAAAGTTAGTTATAAAAAAATATAAATTCGGTTGCATTGTATATGTTGAATGAACAATAAATATAAAGAGAACACTACAAAATGCGAAGAGATACCTTTTTCCATGATCTTCGACCCCATTTTGAAATGAAAATGTCCAAATCATCAATCACCCATGGCCGAGAAACAAGATTTTGACAACTTGCTTGAAAGGACATACCATCCTTGGCAAATAACTCTGCAAGCTTCAAGGTGAACAACATTTCAAAGAATTGTTATTATACAACTCCAGTGTATGATAATCTATTTCAACTTATCAATACAACATTGCCTGCAAGGATGGATTTGTTATAACTCTGTAATTTTCTATCTATTCCTAGTAAGAATTATAACCATTTACGAATATAGTATAGCTGTTTTGAGTTTAAATTCATGAACAAAACATTATCTTATCTAATATTTTCTGATGCTGTGAATAGCATGCTAATGTGATATTTTTCAAGAGTTCTAGTACTAATTTTTACAAATTTAGTGTTGGACTGGAATAATTAGCAAAACACAAACCAGAATTGCCAAAGATAAAATAATAAAGAAAATTCCAGAAGAAACCAAGATCACAATTCATGCCAGAAGTTAAACACAAACATATTTTACCAGATACTTAATGACATGATTTGAATATTAGCTAAGTGCAAACCAATAACAAGAAAGCGTATGGAAAAAGAAACTAACAGGAACAGTAGATCAATAGGCTACTAAGTTACACAGTTAGTTAGTGAAGAATATGACAGTTGAAACCTAACTGAACAAGAGCTTCCATTCAACGCTTACTTATTTCTACAACAAACACCACGTCACTTCCTTCCATTTACTTTCCAAAAACAAAATTTAAAGATCAATTGAATTATCAGTGACTGTGGAATCACCAATGGTTTCCAAGGAATTTAAATCACTTAAAACTGAAACAAATTTAAATAAGCAGTATTATAGAGACACGAAGCTTGGCAGTGATTAAAGAGCAGAAAATAATTTACTGCTCAGGAGAATACACATGCTATTTCAAAAGAAAATTAAAAGGCTTTGTTCTCGTACTCAAAATTTCCACATATTTCCCCAAACAAACTAATATACTACACACACTTATTATATTTATATTACCTCCACAATTACCTTATAGCTCACATAAAAAATATTCTTTCAAACCAAAACACAAAATAAACACACCCTTCTTTGCAAAAAAATTCTGCAGGGCATATAGGACAACAAAGACAACATATGCTAACTACATTTTTATGTGAACTTTCTCAAAGCTACAAAACATAGAAAGAAGAAAATAGGACACAAGAGTAATGGTTGCGGATTCCCACGTATCAAAAAAGAAATAAAAATAGGACACAATTTCTTATAAGATAAGAAAACTACAGCTTCATGAAGCATCTGTAACCACTAATGAAAAATAGGTTGGGAAAATTATATCTAGAAACTCTGCTGAATAACCATATATTATTTCCTTCCGATACATGATCTAGTTAACAAATCCAATAATCCATAATGAAAAGAAGGAAACAAAAGCAAAATAGGTGAGTTTACTTGATCAAAGGGCCCAATTTTATAGTAACATTGCCAACCTTGGGAAACTCACTACAAAAAATTTATCACCCCAAAATCCCCTCAAGTCAGTGTACTGCATCAACCCCCAGAAAGCACCTCAATTAAATTTCTCAAAGTAAGCACTCTTGATAATGTGGCTCATGAAATATGAAAATCAACAAAGAAGTGATTTCCCCAGAAGTAAAATATCTAGTGAACAACATAAAATATTAACACTAACTGGAGACCATGCAAGGACAAGATGGATATATTATTGGCCTTTATTTTGAAAATTGAGAGAGAGAGAGAGAACACCACATCATGACTGATTATATCAAACTGCAGATCACACGAAGTACCTGAGCTGAGCCAAGATCAAATATGTTCCCAGCAAAGATTCCTCTGATCAAATTCTCAAAACGCTCGGATTCATCCTGGATAGCATCATTAAGATGCACAACATCCTGAAATAATGATATTGCCTTGGCATTCTCTTCATCCTGTCAGGAAAAAAAAAAAAAGAAAAGAAAAGATCAAACCAATTAGACATGAGTGTTTGCTCCAGATTAAACCAATTAGACATAAAACTTTGCTCATGTTCTGCCGAGAGAGAGATGCAGATTAGTCGTTGTCATATATTTCTCAGGCCTTAACTCTGTATCCAGTGATATGTCAATATCAAAATTGAAGGAGAAATAAATCATTATGATTAAATATTGAATTGGATAAGCCTTCAACTTTTCAATCGCATGTAATAGTGAGTACTCTGCTCTTCTCAAACTTAGCGGAGATTACTTATCTTGGTGAAAGAGTAAGCAGTGATACTTGCCTTGACCTTCTTAAATATGTCTCTGAATCCTACTTCTCGAAGCACTTGCTCACGAAGCTGGCAGAGTAGCTGAATCATAGAAGAAACACAAGAATGGAACGTGCTTCAACATTTAAATCAGCTGAGATGAAATTTAAAAGCTCATTAACTCGAGACTGATTGCAGAATAGCGTACAATGCAATCAGGTGGGCCGCCGTGAGTCTCAGGGTCTTTCTTCAAATTCTCCAGTATCTCTGTGTACCTGTGGAGAGGGTAGGATAAGCAAGATTTTCCGTCCAGCGGAAGCCACGAAATTAAAAACCTTGGAATTGGAAATGAAGAGTGGTTCGTGCGAGTGAGGCAACAAATGAGGCGCGAGGGGGGCATAATTTAGTACCTCTGGGCAAACTTTTCAGCCTTGGCGGAAGCATCGGGAACTGTATCGTCAGCCTCAGCGCGTTTGCTATATATATATATCAGGGAATTTATTAGTAGTAATAATCGAGAAAACATCAAAATAAAAAAGTGGGGTTACCGGAAAGAGGGGATGGAGCGGGCGAAGAGATCGATCCAAGAGAGCTCAGTAGGGGTGGGCTTCTTGGGATTGTCGGAAGGGAATCGGTATGGAATAGTGCAAGCTCTGTAATTGGACTCGATCAACACGGGCAGCGGCACCATTTCCCCCGCACTCTCCATCTAATGTATGCTGATGTAATTTATCCCAAATCCAAATGAATCCAATCGATTTCCTCCCAGATGATCCTCTTATCAGCCTCGAGGCCTCAGATCAAAATAATAAGGTATGTAATTAATGTAAGCACCCACCCTGTGACCGAGTATGCTGAGGCGCCTCGACTTTGCTGCTGTCTTTCTCCTCCCTTTACAATTATAGTAAATATTAAAACGGGTTTATTGGTGCGGATTAACCCAGCAAATAAGCGAATTTATTTGTAGGCAAATCCAAGTCCGGACAGTCTGAAGATTTAGGGTATGTTTGGTTATAATTTCACTTGTGAGTTGGTATTATATTTTTTAAAAATTATTCCTTTTGCCCTGGTTATCATGTTCATATAAAAAAGTATTATTCTCTCCGTTCTGATTATCATATTTATTTTACTGTAATCTTAAAATTTAGACGATATAATTAATAAATAATTAAAAATATATTAATAAAATTAATTATTATGTAATAAAAATAATTATATATTAAAATTAAAATAATTATTTTAATTAAAATTTTAAAATTTTAAAATATTATTAAAGTGTATAATTTTTTTCTAAAAAAAGAAAATAATAGTATAAGTGGGATAGACGAAAATAAAAATGTGGACATAACAAATAAGACGGAGATAATATATTATATCACCGTTGGGATAGAGTTTAGGGTCTCGGATATTTTATTTTATTTTTTTAAAAAAATTATATAGCAAGTGCCCAAAATAGTTTTAATCAAAGAAGTTATACATAGTTTTACAGGTAAAAGTTAAACAGTTCCAGTAAAATAAGCATACAAGACAAACCTCATATAATCAAAGAATGAGCCAAAATGTCTAGCCAGGGTTTAGGGTTTAGGATTTTTTTTTGGCTGGCACTTAAAAAAATTGAAAATTGCAATGGAATATTGGTACGGAATATAATCTATTGCAAAATTGCAATGGAATTTGTTAGACAACAAATAAATAGTCTCAATTGCGATATATTGTGAGAGAATATTGCAATAGAATAAATTTGTCACAAATATTTTAAAATTACACAAGTAATATAACATTCCGTTGCAAAATTGCGACGGAAATAACAACATATTAAATTTGTTGCAAAATTACGATGGAAATAGCAATAGATTAAATATGTTGCAAATTTTCTAAAAATTATGCAACAAATATAATATTCCGTTGCAAAATTGCGACAGAAATAACAACAAATTAAATTTATTTCAAATAAAAAAAATTAATTTTTTTAATTTATAAATAATTTAATAATTATTATTTTTAAATTTTAAATTTAATTTTTAAAATTATTATTTTTAAAATTTTTAATAATTAATTTTATTTATTTATTAAATATTTTTAATTTTTAATTTTCTTTATATATTTTTATTAATTTTGATTTTTTACCAAATCTGCCCTAATTCTCACTCGCGATACTCACTCGACGCTACTTACTCGCAAACAAGCTTAGACTTGCCCAAACCGTTCAAACCGTCGATTACGATTACAAACCGCCGGTTACAATTTATCAAAATATAAAACTGAAACTGAACCTTCTGAATGACGGTTTCGATTACGATTTGACGGTTTCGATTACGGTTTATAAACCGCCGGTTTCGGTTTAAAAACCGCCGATTACGATTTGAACCGTCGGTTTATATATACTCATTTTTAATAATTTTCTTTCTTATTTTTTATTTTTCTAAAAATTTGAATTTTATTTAAAAATAATTAAATTTCATTTTAATTTTATTTAGATATATTTATTATTTATTTATTATATAAAAATCATATATATAAATAATTAATTAAATTGTTACAATATAAAAATAATTAAAATAATAAATATAGTAAATAATTAAATTATAAAAATATTGTAATAAATAATAAAATAATTTAAATTATATAATAAAAATTTATAAAATATAAATAAAAAAATATTAATAGTATTATTATTTTTTAATATTATTAATAATTATTTATATTTATTAATATTATTATTGTTATATTTTAAATTTTAATTATAAATATAATGATATTATTATAACATATACGAATATCTAATCAATACTTAGTTATCCATATCCACACTCCGCCGACACCCCAGCTGCCCTCACACACAGGTTCTTCTTCCTCTCATTTCTTTCATTTCTCCTCCATTCCTCCTTTCTTCTTCTTCTGTTGCGCGCCTGCCTGCCCCTGCCAAGGTGAGAGATTTAAAAAAAAAAAATTTCTTCCTCCTATCTTCTTCCCCAACCTTCTTCCTCTTTCCAAACCTCTTCAACCACAGACGCTCCAAACGCACGTACTTCCCATTTCCCAAGTTCCAGATATGAAATTAAAAGAATTGAAGGAGAAATAGCAACAATTACACATAGATATTTTAATTTCTCAGAATTGAATTTTGCTCGCCGCCGCTGATCATCTGCTCTGATGTTGCCCTATCATCTGCTCTGACGTTGCCCTTTCAGGTAGCACAAAAATCGACTAGACAAAAATCGACGTTTGTTTGGTAGGTATGGATGACTCTGTATTTATTTATTTGGATGATGTGGTTTGTTTTACATTCAAAATATCTTTGTTTATTTTGCAGAAATATGTAAGGATTGTAAAAGGAACTCGCAGTTAAGCTGATTTGCCAAGCATTGCAGTTAAGTCGATTCGCCTTTCTTGCAATTTAATCTCAATCGAGAAACTCTAGGAAACATCATAGTTCTTAGGGGCTGTTTGGTTCGTGGACTTTTTTGGTGGGATTGAAATTTTATAGTAGGATTTATATGTGATTGGATTTATTACATTTAGGATTTGAAATCTCATATTATGTTTGGTTGGTAAAATATGGTGGGATTTATATTTTGTAGATTTGGATTTTTTATATTCTAAATGACATAATTGTCGTCTTATGAATTTTATTATTTTGACAAATTAAACCTCTAATTTATTATTAATATAAATTGAAAAGATATTAATAATTTTATAGGATGACAATAGATTCGCGTAAACTCGAGACCTGACCGAGCCCGACCTATTTATTTGAAGTTAAGTCCAATTATTTGAGTATTAGGCCTGGATTCGGATCATGATCAAGATAATATAATAATAAGATATCAACCATACATATCAAAAAATAATTTCGAATAATATAATTATATTAAAAATATTTTTTGAGTTTAACGTATTCATTATTTTATTATAATATTTTTCTAATAAAATATATAAATTTTAATATACATTGGGTCCGGTACATGTGTAATTTTAAATTAAAATTTAAGAATTGTAAAAAAAATAGATTTTTCGGATTCATCAAGTCTTATCGGGTATAGTTTCGGTCGGATCTAGTATAATCGGATCCAATTTGAATCTCGGATTTAACAATATATATTTGGGATGAATATCAGTTCCGACTGAATCCGACTTATGATCGTCCCTATAATTTTATAATTCAAATAAAATTTGTAATAAATAATAATTTAAACAATGAATTTATTAATTTATTTTAAAAATATTGTATAATAAAAAATAATATAAATTTAAGTAAGTATATAATTCAAATAATAATTAATGTTAAAATTATTTAATTTTTTATATAAATATAATACTATTATTTTTTTTATAAGAGGATATAAATGTAAAAATTAAAATTTTTAGAATGGGATTTAAAAGTAATAGGATATCCCCATTAAAAAAAATCCCTTATTTGTAGGATTTTAGATACCATTTTCAAATCCCATCATTGTAAATTCCACGTTATTTTTCTTAACTAAACATGATTTCATAGGATTTTAAAATCTAAATCCAATGGAATCCCATCAAATTCTTGAACCAACAGCTCTTAGATAGCCAGTAATTCAAAAATAATATTAACTAGTTATATAGCTGATTGATTCTATTTTGAAACTAACAGTTTTCTTTGAGTAAATAAATATTGTTCAAATAACCATGTAATTTTCATACAGCTGTGTTGTAACTTAATGGGCTGTTTGTTTCAAGGATTTGATAGGATTTCATGGGATTTGGATTTTAAAATCCCATGAAATCCATATTTGGTTTAAAAAAAGATATTGGAATTTAAAATGATGGGATTTATAAACATGGTCCAAAATCCTACAAACGAGGGATTTAAAAGTATGTATAAAAAATATATTATATATTATAAATATATTTATATAAAACTAAATTAAATAATTTTAAAATTAATTTTTATTTGAATTATATATTAAATTAAATTAATATTATTTTTTATGGTACAATATTTTTTAAATAAATTAATAAATTCATTGTTTTAAATTGTTATTTATTATAAATTTTATTTAAATTATTAAATTATCAGGATGACAATAAGTCGGATTCAACCGGAATTGAGATCCGTCCCGAATATATATATTGTTAAACTTTAGATCAAATTGGATCTGATTATACCAGATCCAACCGAAACTATACCCAATAAAACCCGATGGATCTAACAAATCCAATTCTTTTTATGATTCTTAAATTTTAATTTAAAATTACACGTGTACTGATCCGATATATATATTATTTATGTTTTTATGAAAAAAATATTATAATAAAATAATAAATAAATTAAACTTAAAAAAGTATTTTTAATATAATTAGATTGTTAGAAATTATTTTTTCATATGTATAGTCGATATATTATTAATATTATAAATTGAGTCTAGGTGCGGGTATGGTCCGCTTAGACCCTAGACCCGATTCGGACCCGATTAGAATACCCATAATATGACCCGGATTAAGATCTAATACTCAAATAATTGGACTCAACTTCAAATAAATAGGTCGGGTTCGAGTCGGGTTTCGAGTTTACGATAACCTATTGTAATCCCTATAAAATTATTAATACATTTTCAATTCATATATATATATATTATAAATTAGATATTTAATTTATCAAAATAAATAAAATTCACAGGGGGACAATTATGTCATTTAGAATATGAAAAATCAAAATCATTCCACTCGTATAAAAAACAATCAAGACGTGAGAAATATAAATCCCACATAATTTTACCAACAAAACGTATGATAGGATTCCAAATCCTAAATATAATAAATCTCATCCCATATAAATCTTGCTGTGAAATCTCAATCCCACAAAAAAAGTCCATGAACCAAACAACCCCCAAGAGAAATTTATTACACTAGATTGATATCTTTCCAT